AGCCAAACTTTGGAGCCATAGCTGTCGACAGCGCAGTTTGCACCTGCTTCTGGCTCTGGCTCTGGTTCTGCTGCTGCCTCTGCCACATGCCACACGCAATCTAATTTAGCTGGAGAAATACGTGCAAAGCGTGAAAATAGGAAATGGAAAAGGCCAAAATGGGGGCAGGCCACACACCCATTCGAGTGGCCTGAAAGGGGTCAGGCTGCTGGGTGTGGGCATGGGCGTGGGCCGCCTCCCCTTCCGTTATAATGCGCCCAATGCTCTAATGTGCTAATGCTCAAAGCCGCTTAATCCGTTTAAAGCAGCTTTCAAATATACCACACAGCAGCGACTGTTTTCCCAACGATCAGCGTGGAGTGCAGTGCAAAAAGTTCCCTGTCAAAGGTGTGGCAATGCACGCAGAAATTATTCCAAGGGTTGTGCCAGCCCCAGCTCCATCCCACTGTGTGTTTGTCAGGCTCCACTCTTGTCAGGGGATTTGTGCTCGTTATTTCTCAGGCTGTAGCCTCCCGTTCCGTGTTTCTTGTGCCGTGTTTTGTGTGCCTGTCTCTGTATGCAGCTTCAAACTGAATTCTACATTTGAATTATTCATTCCTTTTGTCGCTGCTGCATCTTCAGATGCCACGCTCAAGGGCTGTTGCGTCCTTGAGGGTTGCAGCAGGCAACAGGCAACGCAGAAACACCACCCCACCCCCCTACTCCTCGTTAGCTTTGTGCATTTGGCTGCCTGGCCGCCTAAAGCCGCCTCAAAGCCAGGCCAGGCTAGGCCCATTGTAGCTGTTGTTCGTCGCTCGCAAATCCGAAAGCAATTTCAGCAGCATTAATCATTCCGCCCGCTACGGCCAGAAAACACACACACCCCCTCTATACACACTCCATCCCCTGTCTGACACTCTTATCTCCCGTCCGGCCATTTCGGGCTAATGTTGACAAAACGCATTTTAAGCACTTCAGAATTTTCCTTCTTTTTGTTTTAGTTTTGTTTTGCCAACCGGACAGTGGCCACAGTGCCCCGAGCCGCCCCCCATCCACATGTGTGTTTGATTCTGATTTGAATGCCACGGCTGGCAAAATTTTCATTGAAAATATATGCATGAGCGGGGTGCATTGGAGGACCACAGGATCGCCCTCAATGCTATCCTGACCCAACCAGACCGAAGTGGAATCCAAGTGGCCAGCAGCACCAACAGCAGCAGCAGCAGAAGCTTTTGTTTGCTGCGGCCCTTTTGCCACCAGAGTACGTACGTATCATTGTGATTGTGTGTCCATTCCCAACCAGGTCCATCACTCCTCGTTTCCCTTTTCCCAGCTGATGAGTGTGTGTGTGTTTGTTTGTTTGTCTAACCTTTTCAAACAGTTCCACACATAGTTGTTCATGGGGCAGAAAGAGGCCATAATCGAAACTGGTTGTTGCAGTTGGCAGAGATGTGTGAGATTTGAAATGGAAACTGTGAATGACTGGGGGGACTGGGGACCACACCAGAGGCTAGCGCCCAGCATCCAAATTGAACATAGCCCAGAGGAGCGTTATGAAATGTGACTATTATTAATTGGTTTGCATTTGAAAATGAAGCAGATCAGAGCAAACTGTGATGGTAAATTCCCCCAAGGTAGAAAATAACAAAGAATTTTATGGCAAGGGAAGTAATTTCTCGCTGAAAGAAATAAGAAAGGCTACTAGAGGGAATTCATTTACCTTTAGAGTAAATATTCAGAGAGAATTAGCATGAAATTGATTACAAGCTAGTTCAATTAAAAGATACAAGAGATTTTTAATATAACTACTGTATTTAAAGCTCCCTAGATGTAATAGAACGGAAGAACCAGTTGAAACCTTCAACTTAAACTCTTTACGAGCATCTCTTTTCTGTTCCTATTTCCCATGTTCTCAATTCATGTATTATTGATGAGGATTTTGAACTACATTATTGCAGCTCTATTATTTATATATTTATCTATGTACATATGTGCACACGCTTATCCCCTGGAACAGATGCCAAACACATCTCTGCAGATGCCACACACATCTCTGGCATTCCAGACACTGGCATTCCGCCCTCCCCCAAAAAACAATCCAAATTAATATTCATTTAAGCCAGACTCACCCACAACACTTTGCCACCATGCAGACAAATCCTTTATTTAGCGAAGCAACTTTTTCGCGTTGGGTTTTCCTCGTTTTTTATACGGATTTGACTCAATTTTTATTTTACTTTTTTTGGTTTTGTTTTTGGTTTGGTTTAGTTTGGTTTTGTTGAGATTTGTTATTCCAGAGTTTTTCACTGCTGCTGCTGCTGAAAATGCACGACAAATTAACAGAGCCCTGGAGTGAGTGAGCGTGGCAGAGGCAGTCGGTTCGAGAGGGGGGGATAAAAGAAGGAAAGAATAAAAGCTAAAAATGAAAATGAAAATGCTTTCCGTGGCAGCCGTGGTATCCTTCTGTGGGGGCAAGCCACGCCCGGGGCTTGGACAACAGCAACAACCAGATCGGGGAAATAAAAATAAAATTGAACGAAACAAAGAGGAAAAATGTGAAAAATGCGGAAAAGCGTTAAACTAAAACTCTGTCACTTGTTTCACTCTTTGGGATATTCTTTTTTTGGTTTTGTGGGTGGGTGGTGGTTTGGACTATGAGAGAGTAGCATAATGCATGTGTCTTTCACATTGAACCCTGCCACACTCCTCCTCCTCCTCAGCCTCCAGCCAGCCCCCTCGCTAGGCACAGCGGGTATTTTTTTTTTTGTATTTTATTTTATTTTTTTGTATTCTTTTCTCTTTTTGTGATTGTTTGCGGCACTGACACCTTTAGTCAAATATTTCTCGGCATTTCACCTTTTTGTGCGTCTTAAGCCGTGTATTTTCTGGTCTGTTGTTCGTTTCCAACCCCCTTTCGGCGGGGTTCACTTCGCCTGCCTCACGCCTACTCACACGCTGAGTGACCGTTGGTTCACTTGGCTCTTTAAATGGACTTTGTGCACTGGATTGGAGTGCCGCCGTGTACCGTTACCGTTACCGCTACGCTACCGCTACCGTTATGACGAGCTTCGTTCGTTGAATGAACTGGCGAAAAAAAAAAACAACACCGAAACACACACACAATGGAACTTTGCTACACCAACAACAACAACAGCAGAAAATGTAAGGTGAGCAAGCAAAGCTTTTTTCGCCAGCCGCTCTCTCGGCTTGGTCATACTCTGCCGCGCTCTTGCTTACTCTTTACCCCTAATTTGGCAAACAGCCGGCGCAACTAACGCCAACGCAACACATAAAACCCTGCTACGAGCTTCGTTACCATCCCAAAAATGGCAAACATGGCCAACCAACCAACCAACCACCCCCCTTTGAGCCATAAACTTGTAGTTGTTCACTCTCTCTCTCTCTGTCTCTCTCTCTCTTTCTGAGCGCATGTACGCATGCTCTAAAGCTGCGCTCCAAAGCTCTGAGTGTGCGAGTGTGCGTGAGAGCGAGAGAGGGTTTCCATGTGAATTTAATGGGTGGTTGGGTGGATGGATGAGAGAGAGAGAGAGTGTATGGCTTTGGGCAGGGTTGAAGCGGGCTTTGAGTGGGTTGTTTTCGTTTGCTGTCACATTGCTTTGGTTCCCCCTCCACTACTGTTGCTGCTGTTGCTACTGCTGCTGCTGCTTCTGCTGCTGCTGTTGTTGTTGTTGTTGAATGTGCACTTTGTTGAATGTGCATTGCGCTTCCTCTGGCCGGGTGCTTTTGTTGCTACTGCAAAATTGCCTCGTAGCATTTAAGTCGAATTATGAAAGACTGTGTGTGAGGGGGATCCAGTACATGCCCCCTCCCGTCGTCCCGTCAGCCCATCACCAACAGTGGCAGTGCCCATGCCAAACGCGCTCGAGGGGACAGAAATACGGCTGCATTTTAATTAATATTGATTGTGAGTTATTTTCGCAGGGGTGCGAGGCAGGTGTGGTTTTAATTTAGTTTTCCAAATGCATATGTGTGTGTTTTGTGTTTTTTTTTTATATTTTGTGTGTGCGTAGGCGGGCGCAACCCTATAACCCACTTGCATGCTATGCGATTATGGATAAATGTTTGCCCATTACAGGGTACACAAAGTCAGCTTCATCATGGCGTATCATGTAAATGAAGGGGGAAAGCCAACGAGAGCAGCGGAGATGCCAAATTTGCATTTCAATTCAACAGTCGTTGGCGCGCACTCAGTCGCTAGCCCCCCGTAGGCACTGACACGCCACCACACACCACCCACCACCCACCACCCGCCATTGGAGCTGTGTTTGCATTGCTTGAACAGCTTCGTCCCATCTTGGTCTTGGGATATTTTCAGTTTCGCTTTAAGTGTGATTCGTTGTTGCGCTTGACAGCGCGGTAAAATGTGCACGTGCTGCAAGAGCAACTTTCCCCTGGGTATGGATGGGGGGTTGTGTGGTTTTATTGAACCTGAAGAGTATAAGACAATGGACTTTCGTTTCAATTTGAGTTTTCACCCATTGCTAAATGACCAATAGTAATCGATGCGATTAAACAGACTCAAGCTCCTATGGGGGATTTCTTAAAAATGCATTAAAATTAAATCTGTTAAACCAGTTTGAAAAACTGGCCACTGCAATTTAAATTCAAAGCCAACCGTTTATCAGCACTCTTTTCGCAGAGCAACCAGCCTGTGACAGCCTGTGAACCAGTGTTGAACAAGTTCGTTTGATCTGACCGCCAAATTCCATTTAACTAACAAAAATACCGACTTCTCCAATTGTGCTGGGTATCCAAATTTACAAGAAGAATAAAATTCACAAGCAGCATTATTTTCTACGGCTTAGCTCAGGCTGTATATTTTGATATATTTCTAAAAGTCAGGCGCAGTATATTTTATCGACAAGTCCGCGGTCCTACTGGTGTTTTTGCGATGTCAGCTCCAATTGGATTTTTACAAGAAAAAAATACCGTATATTTTTTTAATTTGGCCAAAAAAGAATACTGAAAAACGGCTACACTTATTAATTTGGCCAGAAAATAATACTTTAAGACGGCTACACTTTTTTCCGCCAAACAAAAAAAAGGTTAACTTTTATTTTTTTGCATAAAAATAGTGAGAATTAAGTAATGGGAAAACGGCGGACGCAATCACAGATCGATTCGAACTCTAGCGATAGTGATAGCGAATCGGACACCAACCTGGAGTCGGTGAGTAATGAGGGGAAGAAAGTAAAGCCCGCGCCCCATTGTCAAGGGGCCGCTGCGTGCGGCCATTGCGATGTAACAAATCAATGGCAAGTTTTTTATGATACCAATTAAACGTGATAACTGCCCCCGCAGGACCTCCTGTCGTTGGCTAAGAAGCGCAAGAAGCCGCAAAATGCCAGCAAGGCGAGCTCCCTATCCGACTCGGACTCGGACTGGGCAAACAACAAATCTGGAGCGCCTGCCACGAAGAAGAAGAAGCGTCCGAAGAAGGCCAGCAGGGACTCGAGTTCATCGGAGTCCAACTGGGACGATGAGAGCCAGGATGAAGTGCAGCCTGTGCCGGCTGTGGAAAAGAAGCCCGAGGAGCCTCCAAAGCCGGGCAACGTCAGCGAGCACGAGGAGGGCGAAGTCTCCGACAGCGACTCGGACAATTCGAAATCAAACTCCTCATCTGGCTCCGACTCATCCAGCTCGTCCTCGTCCGGCTCCGACGCAGAGTTCGATGACGGCTTCGACGACGACATGATGGGCGACGAGGAGGATCGCAAGCGTCTGAATGATCTGTCGGAAAAGGAGCGCGAAACGGAGATCTTTAAGCGCATCGAGCAGCGGGAAATCAGGCGAACCCGCTGGGAGATCGAGAGAAAGCTGAAGCTGGCCCGGCGCGGTGAACGGAACGAAAAGTCACGTTCAAAGGGCGAGCGGGCCAAAAAGAAGAAGGAGAAGAAGGCCAAAAAAAGCAAGGAACTACCCCCGTCTCTGCCACCGCCATCGAACTCTGTGCTATCCGAACTGGAATCAAAACCAATCAGCGAGGTGGGCAGCAAGAGTCCGATCCCTCTATCTTCCAGTCGGGACGTGGCCTCAACTTCGGCGGCCGTGGCCAGCATACTCAACGACCGAGGATCCGACGATCAGGCTGGCGCCGGTATGGGCGACTATTTTGATCACAAGGAACGGTCCAAGGAGCGAAAGAAGAATGTGGAGGCCAACAAAACCGATGACAAGCGAAGCAATGCCATGGCCCTACTGAAGGCCAAGCGAGAGGGCAAGGCCAAGCGAGGTAAGCTCGCAAATGCATATATTGATTCTTTCTAACTGAAATGTTTGTGTAACTTAATTTATTGCAGAGGAGGAGGAAGCGAAGCGGCAAGCCGACCGCGAACGCGACGACAAAGAGGAACTTGAGAGCGTTTCGGGCTGTAAGTCGGCTGTGAAGCTGAAAGCCTCAGAGATCTATTCGGACGACTCGGGCAGCAGTGACTGGGACGAGGATGAGAAGCCAACGGGCAAACGGTCACGTTCGATTAGCAGCAAGGCTTCCAGCGAGTCTGAGGATGATGACAAAACCACCAAGAGTCCAGTGTTCATATCGAACCGAGAGGATTTGAACAAACTGCGCCTGTCGCGCCACAAGATGGAGCGTTTCGTCAATTTGCCGATCTTCGAGAGCACCGTGCTGAACTGCTTTGTGAGGATAAGCATTGGCAACAATGGCCAGAAGCCGGTCTATATAGTCGCTGAGATAGTCGGCGTGGTGGAGACGGGCAAGATCTATAGCCTAGGCACCACGAGAACCAATCGGGGTCTGCGCCTGAAGCACGGCACTCAGGAGCGCGTCTTCCGGCTGGAGTTCATCTCCAATCAGGAGTTCACCGAGAACGAGTTCAACAAATGGCAGGAAAGCTGCCAGAAGGCGCACGTCCAGGCGCCCGCCATGGAACTCATCGAAATAAAGGCGAACGATATCAAGAAGGCCCTGAACTACGAGTACAAGGACGAGGATGTGGACAAAATTGTGGAGGAAAAGAATCGCTTCCGCAACCGTCCCACCAACTATGCCATGAAGAAGACCTGTCTGATGAAGGAGCGCGATGCTGCCATGCTTCGCGGTGACTACGACATTGCCCAGGATCTGAGCACGCAGATCGATGAGCTGGAGAACAGAGCCTCTGAGCTGGACAAGCGAAGATCGCACACACTGAATCTGATTTCGTACATAAATGACCGCAACCGCAAGAAGAACGTTCAAGATGCCGAAAAGGCCATTATGGAGGAGGCGCGCGCCAACAAGGGCCAGAAGATATCAGATCCATTCACGCGACGCATCACACAGCCACGCATGGGTTTCAAGGGTACCAAGAAGGACGATGAGGACACACAGCTCGCACCACTGCCTCCGCCACCGCCTGGCAAGAAAAGGCCAAACGAGGCCGGCTCCTCAAATGCCAACGCGAAGCCCACAGACGCCAAGGACTTTAGCCTGTACTCGCTGCACGACTTCGACATAGACCTGGATGTGCCTCTGCCGGGTGAGTTTTCCTGATTTTTGATTCAGTTGAAATCAATTTGATGTCTCTAAATCTTCCCCTTCCGTTTCCCTGCAGTTAACAGCACGAATTCGGTGCCAAAGCCAGCGAATAAGCCAGCCGAAACCGTCTCCAAGCGATCGCTTAATCTGGAGGACTACAAGAAGAAGCGCGGCCTCATCTAGGGCTACAGACTCGACCCCCAAATTAACAAAGCTCTTGCGTTTTTGCATCCTAGTTAGTTATACAGTAGTTATACAGTGCATAAATCGACTAAAGTGACATTTTGTTAATAGTCCGACAAACGAAGAAAAACTAAAGTTAATTAACGAATACCAATTCGTGGCCGTTTCTGTGTTGTATTAGAGATAGACAGGACACACACATACACACACTGTTGCTGGCAAGAGGATGATTCGGGGATATTTCAATTGTTATCATTTTGACCCATTATATTAACATTAATTCTCCATTATTTTTTTTTTGTTTATCTGTGTGATGCTTAGACAAATGTACAATGCAAAATGAAAAACCACACCCCGCTGCAAGAGCAAAACATATTACGAATTAAATATCGTATGCCAACCAACTGCTAACTGCTTATGTCTCAATTTCACTAGTACTTAAGTTGCAAATTGTATTATATGTAGCTGCCACCGCTTACGACCCGATAATCATCCTCCATGCAATGGTTAATAAATTTTTACGATACGACGATGATAATTTATATAGAATTAGTTAACAGCAACCACTCAGGCATATGGCGAGGGCTAATGAGATTCCAGGGACAAATATAACAGGCTGATTTAATTGGATATATGTATGCGGAACGGGGCATAATTATCCTTTGGTTGTAATCGTTCAATGCTGTATTAGTTTAAGTTCATCAATGTTAGCAGCATGTCCACTATTATACACATATACAAAAATAATTATAATAATACAAGAAAATAAACTAAATATTATACTATTTAAATTGTTTGTGTAATTATTCTTCTTTTTTTGCAGAAAGCCAAGATGTCGGGGTAACTTTTTGTGGGCTTAACAGATCACTCTTCTAATCATTAGTAAAGATATTAATTATGTACTTACATTACATTACTGAAACCATCAGTTTGCCTGCTCTTTTGGCGCCTTTTTCAGCATAAATTGAAAAGTAAACTTTGTAAGGCAGAGGCAGAGCCAGAGGCTTTTGAGTTGATCGGGCAGTTTGGTGGCCTCTCTCAATTGGTTTGCTGGCTGTTTGTGCAGCTGGTGAACTCCTTTCATGTTCTCACATTTAATTCAATTAATTCGATGAAATTGTCTTTTAATTGAAAGCGATCGCGTTTCGCGTTGTTTCGTCAGAAGCGAAATAACATTGCCAGCACATACACACCCAGCACAGATCACTGGGGAGGTTCCAAATTTAACGGTAACGCTAAAGACAGTGTGATGTTATTTTTCTGGAGCATTTAACTAACATCTTAAGTGCATTCTCCTAACGACTTTAGTCGAGATTTATACAACTTTCTGTACTCAAATGGATAGTTGTGTGTATGGGAGGGAGTTTGATGTGGAATAAACTTCAATTGAATGTTTTATAATGCATTTCCGCTTGAATATTTTCAGCATTTTCTCATTCATTCTCCGTCAGGGAATTTCGGGCACTGTATCCCATCTGCAGGCAACGATACCAGAGCCTACATATTGTTCCCAAATGTTGAATGCGACTGATCCGATCAGAATGGTGATGATAATGATGATGATGATGATGGAGGAGGAGTGGGAGAGCAGCAGCAGCAGCAACAGCCTGACGTAAGGGGAGGGGACTGGGGCCCATTGTGGCACAATGACATTTTATCTCAAAATATGCAACAGCAGCACGTTCTCTGAAGCGGAGAGTGTAATAGATCAGTAGCGGAATCTCAATTCAGAATTCGAAAAAACTACCGATGCGTGGCCCATGCAAATGTTGTTGTTGCTGCTGCTGCTGCTGCAGCCCATCTGTGTATGCGTGTGTGTGTGTGTGTGATGCATCTGGAGCTGTTGCATATGTGGGAGAATCCCCTTGGGGGCGACTAATCAACCGGCATACAATTCAAGCAAGTGGCTTCATCGTCGCCTCTGTCTCTGTCTCCGTCTCTGCCTCTGCCTCTGTCACTGCCTCCCTCGGCTTTGGCGTCTTTCATTGTCTGCGCTTTGAAGCCTCTCTGTATGCGTGTTTCGGTTTTAGGGGGGACGCCGACGCTTCCAGTGGCAGAACATGGCAGACCAGAGCTCCGGCTCCGGCTCCAGCGATCAGTTCAAAGTTGACTTCGTCGCGGACCAGACCGGACCGAACACGACACCGCGACCCTGAATTAGAAATTGAATTATCAAATCTCGGCCTGATTTAATTTACAAACTTGAAGCACCACAATAAATGAAAATGTTGCCCAAAAAGTGTGCACTTGATTTGTGGATATTTACGTGCTTAGTCCTGGACTTTGTGTACGCGGAGCTGGACTTCAGCAACGATCTGGAGAACAGCCAGAAGTTCAAGAGTATTCCAACCACAGTGAAAACCTTCGAAAATGATACAGTCCTGCTGCCCTGCACCTTGAAAAGTGAGTTGGATGGACTTCACTTATTGGACTGCCAACCGAAGAGAAAGATTTATGAGGGGATCTTTGGCGATTAGCTGCACTTAGAGAGAGGGAGGGCTTTGGAACGGTCACAGAATTATCCAGCCAGTGAGATTGGCCATAACAATGGCATTTAATTCGATTGAAGAAATGAACACACAATGGGGGAACAAATGAAGGTATTATCTGTGCATAATAGAGTCCGTCCAGTCCGAGGGAGCGAGTCCACAAACGGATTCTGTCAATTGAACGCCTCACACACAACCGAATAAATGTCATTCCGGTGACCCCTCCGAATACCAGACCCATAGCCAGTCCTCCATTACAGGATTATTGACAGCAACAATTAAGTATTGATGGGGTTAACAAGATGAAAGAGATGCAGCTAGAAAGATAGAGAGAAAGGGACAGCTTGCTGTTTGCAGCAATGCGATATTGTGGTTCGATGTAACTTAGATTTAAGAAGATACTCGATAGAGACTAGAATACGATTAGGTTTGATTGGGATTACTCTCATATTACGTGCATGGTGTGGATTCAATCGATTGATTTTTGCATTACAGCGCCATTCCGTTATGTGCGCTGGCACCGAGACGATGTGGCACTGGTAGACTCCCGCCATCCGGAGATACTGCCGCCAGACCGCATCATGCTCTGGCCCAATGGCAGCCTGCAGGTGGCCAACGTGCAGTCGGAGGACACCGGGGACTATTACTGCGAGATGAACTCGGACTCAGGCCATGTGGTGCAGCAGCACGCCATCGAGGTGCAGCTGGCGCCACGCGTACTCATCGAGCCCAGCGGATTGACGGAGCTGCAGATCGGAGCCACCTTCGAGGTGGTGTGCGATGCCCAGGGCGTGCCCCAGCCGGTGATAGACTGGCGTTGGAATGGACAGACCCTGGCCCCAGGCAGCAGCACGGGCAACCGGCAGAGCCATGTCATGGAGATCAAGTCGCGCAGTCAGTCGGGTCTGATCGAGTGCCTCGCCAGCAATGGCGTGGGTGAGCCGGCCGTGGCTGGTGTCTATCTGCATGTGCTGTGTGAGTGCCACTTTGGAAGCTGCTCTTTGTCTTGAAATCATTGAATAATCCCTGAAATTCCAGTTACACCCGAGGTGAAGCTGCCTCAGCCGGTGGTCTACACCAAGCTGGGGACGCGAGCCCATCTCGAGTGCATTGTGGAGGCGGCGCCGGCGGCCACAGTGAAGTGGTTCCACCATGGCCTGCCCGTGGCATTGGGCACGCACTCGTCCAGCCACGAGACCGAGCTGCAGTCCAACCGCTCCCTCGACCATTACGTGAACGACGTACGCCACCTGCTGGTGATCAAGAACGTGCGCAACGCGGACATGGGGCAGTACGAGTGCCGAGCAACCAACAGGATCGGTGCGCGGAGTGCCAGCATTGAGCTGACCGGCCGACCCATGCCGTGCATCTTCAAGATCAATCCGGGCACACAGAGCTCCACGTCGCATGTGCTCGTTTGGCAGACGGAGAGCCTGCTGCCCATCATGGAGTTCAAGCTGAAGTTCCGCCAGATTCCGTCCAACAATGTCACCAGGCAGCTGCGCACCAACTGGACAGAGTTAACGATCCCCGCCCAGGCCATTAATGGTAGGGAGAACTTCAACCGGAAGCTATACAAAGAAAACCCACTCTGACCCGCTCTCTTCCGTAGGACTCATCTACATCACGACGTATACGCTGCATGGCCTGCAGCCGGCAAGTCTCTACGAGGTCTCCGTTCTGGCGCGCAACAGTTTCGGCTGGAGCGACAATAGCAAAATTGTTCGCTTTGCCACGGGTGGCGAGGGTAAGATAAATCACCTGATGTGTGATAGATATGGGTTTCCTCCATTCTTAAGCTTCGATTCGTTTCCGCCAACAGTGGAGCTGCCCAACTATTCAACGGAATCTGAGCTGCAGAACGATGTCACCGAGGAGCAGGACTTCCGGAATGAAATTACCCAGAGATCGGATACTCTGCGGGCCAGCATGATGTTCAATTCGGGCTCAGCAGCTGAGGGCCGTGGCCTCAGTGGGTCCCTCATCTATTCCATTTGCATATGCCTAACATTAGTCCTGATCTACCAATAAGAATAATAGTGAATAGTGAACTCCATTTCCGTGTGACACCAAATAAACAACTATCACCAAATTCTTGAGAGGTAACTGCACACGTCATAGGGGAAATGAATCAAGAGACTGCAATTCATCAACTCAGTCGCGATAAGATTCTTTGTGAACCTCTGACTAAATACAAACACAAATGACTGAGCTCACAGTATGGATGGACTCTTAACGCATTTAGTTTAGTAATCTTTGGCAGTATATTTGGACAAAAACCTATCTGACGAATTCTATATTTATATACTGTACACGAAGAGTTTAGGGCAGCTATCGGCAGCTTTATTCGGAATGATATCAATACTTGGTAACGAAATTGGGTGCGTATTTTAAGGCTTAAGGCTACTCATAAAACATATACAACATTTGCAGAATATAATGTAAAACATTATTCCATTAAAAGTTTTAAGTAGAATCTAAAAATCTGTGCCCAGAGACCAGAAAAGAATTACTAATTGCATAGAAATATCGGATTGCGAGCATAACATGGTAACGCTTCCGTTAGTATGAGATCTATATGTAAGAAGCCTGGACACATGATATATGGTATAGTGTACATATGTACATACATATGTATGTATGGCTCCATGCCAGGGCTTCCTCTATGGACCGCCAACATCAATTGGCAGTGACATTGCGGCGCAACTAACGCATCTTTCTTGTTTCCCATCCCGTCCCCCATACGCGGGCTTCGTGCTCCATGCCGATAGCTCTCCAATGTGCCTCTCCGATGGCTTTTGGCACCGCATAGGGAACGAAACACTGAGTCTGTTTACCTGCTGCCCCAAAGCACACACACACACACTGACGGGTGAGAAAGAGAGAGAGATAGGCGAGGGCATTGGGAGAGTTGGCGCTCGTTGGCTCTGTTCCATTTTCCATTTCGTTTCCGTTGGCAGCACCAGCAGAGCAGCAGCAGCAGCGCTTTTGGCATCACAGCACGCGCTCCACTGTCAGTTCTCGTTTGAAAAGCATCGCGTACGGCCACGAAGAGAATCTAAAGCGCAAAGGTCTCGTCTCGTCTCTATTGAGTCTCTCCATCTAACACCAGGCAGCAGGGCAGGCCTTCGGCTTCGCCCTCGCACAACCTTAGTTGTTAAGTAGCCAAAAAGACAGCTGTGCCACAGATGAGCCATTCTCGCGGAAATCTTTTAAATTCAGCTGAAATAGCCTTTTAGCCCATGGCCAAAACTGGGCGAAAGCGTTGCAAGTGCAAGTGTTAAGTTAAACGGTTTCGTGTTCACATAAAAACAAAAAAAAAAAATTCAAAGGAAAAACCAAACAAAAAAAAAAACAAAATATATAGAAAAAAAGCACTTACAATACATCGTCTTTTGCCTTTTTTAACGCTTTAACCGAATTTTGTTGTTGTTGCTGCTGTTGCTGCTGCTGCTGCTGGCTGCGGCTCTGCGGCAGCTCTCATCTCTCGTCTGGGGGTACGGGACCAGCAAAACCAGTTTTCTTCCTCTATGCCCAGGCAAAATAAATACCACAAAAAAAAAAAAAACAATCTCATCGCATCCATTCTGTAACTGGCCCTGAAGCCTGCCCCAGACTCTACCCAATGAACCTCGACTCTGACTTCATCTTGGGCCCTTGATGATTCATAATAATTGCGCAGAAATATGTGGCAAGTGACACAGATGTGCCCCACATCCTCCGCTCACCACTCTAGAATGCACTGCATTTTGGCACTGCACTCAATCGGCAGCCAAAATTCAGATTCAGTTTCAGTTTCTGTTTGGTCTGGTCTCCATCTCTCTCTCTCTCTCCCCCCTCTTTGCATTCTATAAATATGTACGAATATGTAAAATAGTTGTCGCTGTGCCGGCAAACTGGCAGCAACAAAAAAACCATACACCGTGGATGTACGTACTTGCACCAAGCAACACGAAAGCGAAGCCAAGAAAATCGCCAAACGAAAGCGAAAATATCAGATACTAGTGTGGGCCAGGAGCTGGGAGAAGCAGGGAGCTGGCAGCAGCGGAAGAAGGGCCAGCTGCTGCAGAGGATGACAGGAGAATGGGTGGCAGGGCGGTAGGGTTTGGTGTTGGTGTTGGAGTTAAAGAGGGGGAAAAGTGCAAACAAACGTTCAATGGAAAACAAATTTCCTACTTGTTTTTTATTTACAGTAAGAAACAAAAAAAAAAAAGAGCGAGAATAAAAGAGGGCAAGGGATCGATGCTTCATATACCCTAACAAATAAATCTATGCTACACTTCAGGCAGGAGCAGGAGCAGGAGCATATGGCATAGCCAGAAACTACAGTTCAGTTTTGTGCGTCCCAAAGTGATATAGTGAAACCATCTGATCAAAATTGGTAGACCCTATAAGAGGGTAACCAAGTTTCCAATTCAATCTTTCTGGCGGCAAAGTGCAAGTTCAGTACCCTGCCACTGCCACCCCCCAAAAAGCATTCCACACACACAAATTGAAGCCAGCTGCAGCAGCAGCCAGCAGCTAGCAGCCGCTGCTCTTCCGCCTGCACTGCACACACACAAGAGCAGGCAGTAATTGTGTTTGTGCGTGTGTGTGTGTGTAAACTTTTTGAGCGCAATGTAAATAAACAAAACGCCAAAGAAGAAACACCAACAACAACAGAAAGAAAGAGAGGCACTGATTTGAAGAAGAACGAAAAGGAACAATGAAAGACAACACGGCAAACAACAAAACAAAAAGAACTAAGTTTGCACCTTTCCCTTTGCCCTTTACACACTCTCCCTCCTCTACCCATCTTTCTCTGTTTCTTTGATTTTTTTATAATTGATGTACAGCCTGAATCCATTCGAGGGGCAGTGCCAGGCCAGACGTCTGTTTGAGCGGTAAATCTTGTTTTAGTGATAGTCAAGAGAGCTTTTGTAGTCGTCACGTCATTAGAGGAAGGTGTCAACGGGTGGTGTCGGCTATACTACAATATATTCCAAATGTCGTTCAAACAGTTGACACTCCAAATATAGGTATACATAGACATACGTTAATCTGTGTGTAGTTGTGGGAAAATGTGTACCTGCATGAGAATGTGCGGAAATTACAGCTCGTCAGTTAGTTTTCGCTGTGGGGTGTGAAATGTCGGGGTTACATGGGTGGGCGGAATCGAATTTTTTAGCTTCGATGAGGTACTCCAGCAGCTGTATAGAAATGATTTAATAAGATTTTACCCATCTCAGTTGAGAAATTATTTGAGATTAACTCCATGTAGTTAGTATATTTTTCAGACATTTCCTAAAAAAAACATAGACAGTATTTGTATTCAAACTCGTAGATTGAGACTGAAAATGATGTTCGCTAATGGCAAGTCCCAAGATCATATTGAAGAAAAATCTCATAAATAATCACATTATCTTGGATGCTCTTTGACTTGAAACCTGATTGGCATCATCAAACAAGTATTTTGATGTTGCAATGCTAATAGCAAAGAGTATCTGAAATGGAAGTAGTAATAGATTAATGGGGTTTATTTCAAACTGGAAATACTCAGTTTCTGGGAAATTATGTTATTGCTTTTATTTGATAAAACCATAGCATACATCTAGGAGAAAGACATTGAGCTATACAAATTATTCCAGATTATATATTTATAGACTTTTTATAACCAAAAGAGTGTCAGTTAGTCGACTATACGTATGCATAGGATATAGAAACATTTCAAATGTTGTTTTTCAAATATATTCGCAAATGCATCAGCTATGGATTATGATCGTCAGGCATTGCGAAATTGTTTGTTTTATGAGTTGAGCGCACGAACAAATATGTGCACACAGACACCGAGACAGCCCCAAAACAACAGGGAGAGAGAGAGGAATATTCATGTCGAATCGTGCACCGTGCACTGTGCTCGTATGACTCGTATGAGAGAGCTACGATATGCAAGCCATATGCAAACAGCTTCTAAATTAGTGGCCCGAATTTGTAGCCTGGTGTACACTACCCGTACATGTGTGTGCCTAAATGTACATACATTTTTTTTTTCATTGGCTTTTCTGGTTGTACAATTTTTTCGCATTTGCACATTAATTTATTTATATGCATAAACATTTGCATGCTATTCGACTTGGCACACCCTGACCCAACAGAACCCCCCTTACCCGTACCACTGAAGCCCCCACTTCGACCCACTTTACTGGCATTGAGTCGGACCGGACCAAGAGAGAGGGAGAGCCTACCATGAGCTGTAAATTAGACAACAGCAGCAACAGAAGCAGCAGCAGCAGCAATAGCAAATGGCGATTTTTCGCATAGAGATCATAATATCTTCGAGATACGACTTATCGACGGAGAGCAAATTGCGAACAGACCAGACCAGCCACGAGTGCGCCGCCTTGGCTTGCATAACCCGGCCAAGTGTTCGACTGCCCGACGACGGATTGCCAAGCGATTGAAAATTTGTCCACGCCACGCCAGTTGCTAAAAAATTCGTTTGTAGTCCGCGCTTTTCAATCCATTTTGTACGGCTCAATTAGATGTTTCCGGCCCGCAGGCGCTTTTCGCATATAAAACGCATAAGCAAAAATTAAGAAATCATAAAACCAAAAAATATATGTATATTATCAATGTTTTCGATTGTCTTTGCGGCGCCCGTTTTGGGGCCGCGCTTGAAGATTGTATTTTGGGTAGCAAATTAATTAAGTACCAACCAAACAAACATATTAATTGCAGTTAACGACCTACCTCCGACAACGCACCCAACCAAATCAAATCAAACAGCAACAAAAACATAAACCAACAGAAAGTACAAAATCAAATCAAATCAAAGGCAAAAGCAATCAAAATGATTAAGGCGAGAGATTCGACGCTGCTGTTGCTCATTTGTCTGCTAATTGGACAATTTTATGGTAAGTCAAGGACTCAACCTAATGATCTATTAAATTAAAGAACTAATTGGAACTAACTGCAAAGGGCGCGTTAAGCGTTTGAGTGGGTAATCGAAAATGCAGGGAGAAATTTTTAGTTAAATGTTGGCACTAAGTGGAATTCGAACAGATACGTGCATGAAAGTTATTTACTATAAGAATTAAAAAAAGTATTTTAGGCTCTCAATCTTCAATCGGAAAAAGGTTAGACCAATCTTCTATAGGTATAACTTTCCTCCGCTCTGGAGAGATATCTTGGAGAGGTAATATTCTTCTACTCTACTGATGAATATTTATAGGTACATAAATATTATATTTCCTAGACTTTTCAATCGTTATCTGTCGCGTATTCAACTAAAACCATATTGCATATGCCATAAGTAGAGTTAAGCTTGGGGGATTTCGTTCAACTAAACCGCAAGTAAATGTTTGCCTTTAGTTCAGCATTTATTTATGTTCTCAAAGTGTCGCGACCTTTTAATGTCTGTTCAATGAATTTACGTAAGTTACCAGAAATTATGAATTGAATGCCGACACAACTGACGAAAATAGGTATGAGCAATGCTGTTAGCCTACATACAATTTATCGCTACCCACATATGTGCGTACTCATACGAGTAGTATGTATGTATGTGAAAGCTTTAGATACGATATATGTAGGTGTAGGTATAGGTGTGAGTCGCAGGAACCACGTGCGTACCTTAGCTTATCTTTTGCGTAAATTCAACGCACACAATCGGAGGTCTATGTGTGTGTGTGTGTGTGTAGCAGTGTCAGTGCACCAGTTAAAAAAAAAAACAAGCATATCTTATCGCCAAAGAGGGGGCCAAACAGTTATCAGCCGTCGGAAAGTTAAATTTCATTCGCTTTCGGTAATATGGCGCAAATTGTTGATAACGGTGAACATTCCATTTCTCGAACCGCGGAATGCCTCTTCGTGGAACGATGGCTTGGAAAGTTATTGGCTCCGCTCCACACTCTGCAATGGGAGGCTGCTGTTCTGGGTGGAGAGGGAGGGAGCCATGTGTGTTTTTTGTTTAAAGGGGCAAGATTTCATAGTAGCTTAACGACCTTTGTATTCTCTGGCGGTACAAATTAAATGATTACTATGGGCTTGAGACCTTTGCTAAATTTATTTAAAATTAATACTCCTGATTAGTCTTAACTTTATAGCGATAAGGAAGAATCAGACTGATTACCACCAAAATTTTTATACCCTCTAAAAGTGTATTAAAACTCCAATGAGTAGAGTAAATATTTGTTGTGCAAAGAATGGCATTTTGATGTCGAATATTTGCTCGTAAACTTCTCGCAGCCAACGTCTGTTGCTAACAGGGGGGCTGGACTGGTGATGGGGATGGGGACGGGGACGGAAACTGTACTGTACGCCCCCCAATGTTCTATATAATCAGTTGTCTGTCCCGATTCCAGGCCAAAAGGCCATGTGCTGTATATTTCCCCTTGGTGCGACCACCGGCAATGAAAAATATTTGGCTTTTTATTAATATTTTTTTTGGGTTTTAATTAAAAGTTCCCTTCTCAAATTTTAGCCATGAGATAAGCCAACTGTTAGCCAGCGGATAGCCAAAAATATTCAACAAACGGCATAAGCTTTGCGCTCGCATACCACTATATATCAACGAATTATGTTCTTGTGGGTCTGCTCCAGAATATCAAAGAATATTTGGCCTACAAAAACACATTTGTAAAGTCTGTAAATGTTTCATAACATTCCGAGCAGCCGCAACGAAAATATTTGTTTTCTATGATGAATTCTTTGCCAGTTCCAAATCCATAATTTGAGTTGATAAACACTTTTGTCCCCCCACGCCTAATGGGAATAGTTTATTTACTCCGAGGGCGGGCTCTGTCAAGGGTAACAAGTCCCATTCCATGGGGACCTATTAATGACCTACAAATAGCTAATTCTCTGCAATGCCGATATAGTGCTGGTGTCTGCATATTTGCATAAAGTACATACATAAGTACTTTAGCTGATTTTTCAACGGGTTCGTTAAGTATTTTTCAAAAAGAAGACAAACACAAAAAAAAAAAACATTCTCAAATTACGTATACGCATGGGGAACGATCGAGAGACGTTGGCTGGCTATCCAAAAATAAAGATCGCATAATAAATCAATGATTTGATCAATCAAAATGTTCCAGAGGGTGCGGAGTGAATGCGTGCCCCACCCATGATCCCTCTATTTTTTTTGTTTTTGTTTTTGTTTTAGTTTTTTGGTTTTTCTGGGAGGCGAATTGATTTGCCGATTCAATTGATTTGAATTTAATTTTCCATTTATTGTGTGTCTGGGTTTTCGGCGTTTCTCGTTTCTTGTTTCTCGTTTTGACTTAATGCAAATTCATGGAATTGGATTATGTACTATGTATACATATGTATGTACACACATACAGTAGGTATATGCATAGTATATACGCGTATATATAGTCATGGAACGGAGTCGTCCAGTTCTTGGCACTTTTATGACCCCACCATCAAAAGTTAGATATCCATGGACGTAGCGCTGCCATAGCCTGTCTATTGCTGACTTTTCCAAATCTGTTCGATCTTTTCGACATTTCAGAAATTGTGCATTTTGGGATTGGCATCTGCGAGTATGCCATAATTTATTTATACACATCTTATTGACTTAGAGATGGACGTGGCTGTGGCTGTGGATGTGGACCATTCTAGAACTGTTTACTCAGTGACCTCATAACTCATACGATCCTAAACGTACCATATGTGGCACAGACAGACAGCAAATAACAAAAACAACATGATCATGAATTTGCAATCAAACCAATCAAACTCTATACGCAGAACAGTCTTGAACTGAATCTTCAATCAGAGTTATCAATGGGCCGGGCCAGTCGAAGCTACTACATACAGACTGTCCTCGCTGATATGGCGACTGTAACTGGCGCCGGGTACAAGGAATCAATCTGTATGAGGTACATTTATCTGGGGCACCGTAATTAAAACGCAATCTTGTGCTCCAGAATAAGGTGATGACATTTTATTTTCAAGTTGAATCGATTATATAAGTCATATCGCGAATTATTCATTCAATTCATGGTCATTTAAAGTTAGCAGGAAGGGCACTGTACCCAAGGGACATGCAGCAAAATTTTGCATGGGAAACTTCAGTTGGGCTTGCAGCAATTATAAATACTAAAACTGATTCGATCTAACATGACTTCATCTCGATAGGAACGGCAATGGCAACGGCAACGGCTCAATCATCAGAGTTGGTCATAGGAATGCGAAATGCTCCAGACGACGCCCCAGGCGCAATGCAGGCCACAAAAGGCCATTCATTCTGTATAACATTGAACTTTAAAGACAAAGGGAGTGGCATTGGCTGGGGGGCCCAGAGTCTAAAGGGGGGGCCCAGAGTCTGGAGCTGAAGCTGGCGCCGCGACATCCTGACGCCATTGTTCCACTTACAGCGGGATTGCAGAGAGTGAGCGAGAGCGAGCTCCAAGTAGCATCCATCCATCCATATGGATAGACTGGCTCTGAGTGGGGGCTGTTGTTCCGTTTTTTATACATATTTTTGCAACCCCCAACATTGCTTCAAGGACAATGCGAGCCCAGGGAGCCCAATGACGCATGAGAGAGAGAGAGAGAGTGAGAGACAGAGTGTGGGAGAGGAGAGCGGAGAGGCGTCTTGCCTTGCACTTCTCCTGTGACTGTTGGCGCTGACCTACTTACGGACAACAATTGGGTATGGTACGCTGGGATGTGGAACCGTCTCTGGATATTAATATATCCATGGACATGTGTACATGTAAAGTGTAGTTGTGGCCTTGACACGAAAGGAAACAGCGGGCGAAGGCTGCTGCTGGAGCTGCTACTCCTGCTGAAGATTGCAATTTCGTCAGCTTCCCTCCACCCCAATCCGATGGATCGTCGGTGAAGGTCCCTCCATGCTCTTGAGTCGAGACGATGGCAAGCTGTTTTTGGATCGACCTGACCAGGCGGCCACTCCATAAAAGGGGCGTCTGGCTGTGCGTCAAGCGGATGCGATGAGGGGCAGGCAGCAATTGGATAAGATAACTGGCTCCAACTTTGGCTGCCGTGGCGTGGCGACTCTTGCCGGCTTGAGACTCAAGTGTTTACCTTAAAAAGCTTTTATCGGCAATTGATAACGACTTGCGCAACCCGCCAATATCCATCGCTGCCATACGCGTATATCCAAGATGATGTTGTTAGCCGCCATGAGTCATGAGTCATGTCACTCTTACCCGTTAGAGGCGCACACATATGGCATGCAAATTGTTATGGCTAATACATACAGCACTGCGGCTGCTTGAGGTGTGACTCAAACGATTTGCATACGATCTGAGAGGAGGAGTCACCATTGAAACCATCATAACCATTGTATGTAATTCAAGGGGCAATTAAGATTCCATAATCCCAAACCCAAAACCCTTTCGGACTGCTAATGCTGTTTATGGCCAAGAAAATTTACTTAAGGCTTACCCCAATGGTATCTGGTTTGTTATCTGCATACGAGATTAGTTATTAAGGTGATGTGATGGAATTATGCCATAGATTTTCCATGTGACACGCAGATGGGGCATGCGGGCAAAGAACCAGCCACAGATGATGCGGCATACCTTTAGGCGTTAGTCAGAATATTCACAGAATACCAGCCAACCAACTTACTCACCTCAGCTCACCTTTCACATTACTAATCAAATGGAATTATATGTCTGCAAATATTGTCGGGTGTATCTGCCCCTAGTTCCGGTCCCAGCCAATTTCCGCTTGGGAGTTGCACTCTCGTAAATGAACTCGTTTGTGGCAGGGCGCAGACAAGTCGCCCCTTGTTGTTCTCGCTGCTGTGTGATTGTTATCAGTTCCCATGCAGAGTGCAGCAGACATGCGTGTGACTCATGCATACCTTTCTGTGCCTATCCCTGCCCCAACCAATGACGCAATGATCCCACAATGCAACGCTTTCTTTTCCATCTTGCAGATCGCTGCCACGGCTCGCCCATTGAGAATGAAACAGATTACCAGGGTGATGACTACGACTACGACGGAACGGATGGTGACGATGATTTGGAGGGAGCAGATCCACCCGAGATCCAGGATTTATTTGGTTCACCGCCATACTTTGACCAGACCGAACTGAGGATCGAGGCCAAGCCTGGGAATGATGTGATCCTCAATTGTGATGCACGTAATTTTCCAGAGTGAGTTTCCCCACGAAAGAGTCACTTCAAGGATCTGCATTTAATTGGTACTCCCCTCCCTCGATAGTCAACAACGCGGTGATGTGGTACAAGGGCTCGACGATCATTGCTAATGGCCGGAATCCGATCAGCCACCGGGTGGAGGGCATGAAGAATAACTCAATCCTGCTGAGGGATGTCACGCCGGACGATTCAGGCGATTACTATTGTGCCATACTGCCGCAGGACGTTCGACAGCATACGACACTGAGGGTGGGCGCCCGGCTGTCGATCCTCTGCGACGATCGCGATGTTACGGATCGCTCGCAGACGTTCAGGCAGGGCGACCACCACAAGCTCGAGTGTCGAACGTATCTGCCCACAGACCCCAGCATCAAGTGGTCCTTTAATGTATGTTGACCTGCTCCCAGTCCCACACAAAATCATCCTCACCACTTACCCACTTACCCGCGGCCCCTACCCCACATTTGACACAACTACTTGCAGGGCCAGCGCTTGGAGTCGTCACCAGAGGACACTGCCGATGGGACCATTGTGCTGGACAATGTGGACGAGATGAATGCAGGCGTGTACCAGTGCCTCGGCGACGATGGCAGCCGCGATCCTCCGCACGGCATGGTCACCATCGATGTCCACTACAGCCCCAAGGTATCGACGCACCGGCACCACGTCAACACGGAGGAAGGCGGCACTGCCGAGGTGTACTGCAACTATCGCGCCAATCCCATTGCCATCAGTTTCTTCATCAAGGATGGCAAGACGCTGAAGCTGTCCGAGAAGTACTCGAAAAAGGACTCCTTCCACAATGGCCACAATCGCACCACGCTGATTGTCAAGGATGTGGATGTCAGTGACCTGGGCGAGTATCTGTGCCATGCGGAGAACGCCATTGGCTCCAACGAGGCAAAGATCCACCTCAGCTACAACCCGGAGACGCCGCAATTCGAGGACATGACCATCGACGGCACCAAGGTTACCATGCACTGGCTGGTGCGCAGTCTGCAGCCGCTGTCCGAGGCCATGCTCGACTACAAGCTGACAGGGGTAAGAGCCATCTGGTGCCTATCAGAGATCTGATTAATCTGACTCCGTCTCCGTGCAGTCGTACACTTGGAGCACCGTTTCGGTTCTGCAGACGCAGCGACACAATCAGACGGGTGGCATCTGGAAGATCACGCATCAGCTGGATCTGCCGGCACGAGGCCTTTGGCATGCACGCGTCAAGACGAAGAACACCCAGGGATGGTCCAACTTCTCGCCAGATCACGATTTCCGCCTAGCGGACGATGATGGTGAGTCATCTCTCTGTGCATTATAATTCTCTTTAACATCCATTTACCCATTCCCTCTCTTGTTGCACGCGTAGCATCCAATGACGATTCGGACAGGGAGCTGCCACCCGACCAGATCATGCGCGCCGGCATCGGCTCAGTGGGTGGTGGAGCGGCATCAGCGTTACAGCAGCTGCCTGCTGGCTCGCTCTTCTTGGCAGGTCTCAGCGTGCTCTGGCTGCGGCTGCATCTCTAAGGGGTGCCCGGCACTCTGGGCCATCCGGAGGACTGTACATACGTATTTCCGGATCACTTAGCTGGCGAAAGCAAACACACGAAAGCACACACACGAAACGCAAATAGGAAAAGAAACTAAAGTATTCTAATTATACAAAATGCTAATGCGCGCTGCTCCGGGCAGCCAATACTTGCTTGGGGTCAATGTTAATGCTAATCCCCATGCTATAATGCACGCTGGAGCGCATCACCACATTGAAACATTTGTGCCAAGCAGAGGATGGAAAGGAGACGGAGACGGAGAGGACTACGTGCGAATTAAAGTTAATTTAGTTTAGTTAAAGTTAAAGAAGGGAATGTGGAAGTGGAATGAAATCTGCGACGATCGGTTAAAAACCGCCCAAAACGGAACCTTATTTTGATTAACCATAGCTGTAATATTTATTTGTTTTGTATGATGATGTACGGTGGGAGTATGCATGTGAGTTGGTGGCAGTGAGAACGAGAGAGAGATAGAGAGAGAGAGAGAGAGAAACTTCCCTGTTACCTGAATCCGAACCGAAAACGAATACAAAACGAGAGAGACCACTGGCTGGCAAGCGCTCACCCTGGTATAGATGGAATGGATCTAGCCCAGTGTGAGCTGGCCGTCCGTCCCCTTGCCAGGCGGTGGGGCATAGTGTAGATACAAAATGGGTAAAGATCTAGTGACTTTTTAGGATTTTATTTTTGGATAGCCGAAGCATCATTTTTGTGACAGAATCAGGGGGTGACGGGACGCGAGGGAGGCGGCGGGTGAAGAGAGATCTATCGAATGTGGCACGCGAATTATTATATAAACTAGACCAAAGCTTAGACATACATATGTACATATGTGTACCTACAATACCAACCCATACATACATACATACATACATACATATGATAACTATTTTTACGATACCTACGCCACATCAAACTCAATGGGAACCAGAGGATACCGATACGAACATTACACATCAGAGAACGGGATGCGTATGTACCTACTTATAGTTAAGAGATATAGAAAAAATCGAAGAGAGAGCTAAAGAGCCATACTTAATCATAATCAGGCCTCACTCACACCTTTTGATTGTCTTTGATTCTGCTACAATACCTGAGGGGAAATCGCCATAACATGCTGACCATATACAATGTGTGTACAATGTATGTGTATCTACATATGTACATACATACTACTATAATCAAATTGTGAGTGTAAGTATATATTTTATATATATTTTATTTAAGAATTATAACATTAAAGCTGATCAATAAAATGTGCCAACGGAAGCAATCAAGCGAAATTGATTCTTCGAAGAATTCAATCAAAAATGAAAGTTCCATAAACAAAGTTTCAAACAGCCGACCTTTAAGCATACATAAATATATACAGAATCAAATATACATACAAACATACATACATACATATATATGTACGTCTAAATACATAAATGTATTTATTTATATATGTAAAAGCCAGTGTCTTACATGAATATTGTAATTTTGTTGAGTCCACAAAAACGAAAGGAAATTAAACTAAACTAAACAACAACAAAATTTGTAATTCTTTTACTCTCATAGAGATCAGGCCAGAACAAACAAATCAATCCAATCGATGGGAGAACTCAGACACATATTGATTTCATGCCGCAGTTTCTGTATACTTTGGTTCCTTTTTTTTATTTAATAAATAAAGTTGATTTTGTCTTTACAAATACACAAATTTACAATCAACAAAGACTTCAAATGCTCATTTTCCTGTGAGAAGATCGGAGAGTGAAGTGTGAAGAGCGAAGGGGTGGGGGGAGGGATAGGGCACATACATATCTCTGCAAATGTAATACTATACTAAAACTAATGGCTGCCGATCTTGAGCAGACAGACTCCAGTAAGCACCGCCCACAGAAGCGAGAAGGGAAGGCTGGGCAGACTGCTCGACGCGGTGGAGGTGGAACTCTCCGGTGCAATGGCATCGAAGGAATGTTCTGCAATGACCACCTTGGTGTTCAGCACTGAGCCTTGTGGCAGGGCCTGGCAGTAGTAGTCGCCGGCATCCTGTGGACTTGCCTTCAGTATGGTCAGGTCGTAGTTTTCAGTGTCCAGCTTAAAGTTGGGCTGCACCAGAGTGCCGCCATTGGCGATGATGTTCGTCCCGAAGAACCACAAAATGCTCTCTGTAAGGTCAAAGAGGGGTCAATGGCGGATATACTGGGGAAAAAGAGGTACGCAACTTACGGGTCATGTCCAGGTCGCACTTAAGGACCACATCCTCGCCGCGGATGCCCGTTACGGTTACGGTTCTGTTTGGCGGCGTACTGTCAGATTTGGCTGGAATTTGACCCTGAGTCTTGGTCTGTTGACTGGAGGCACTCTGGTCATCCTGTTCGTACTCGAAATCATCATCCGACAACATTTCATCCTCCTCATTGCCGGGCTGGGGGTAGGAGAACACTGAAACGATGATAAATTACAAAAATTAGACATAAAATTTCAGGATCCAACATTCCAGAGCATAATTATAGCCCGATGCGAGCGATGATGCTTCGATTGTTTATAATAGCCACCATGGGGGGTCGGAGTTCCAGCTACCACCACACTTAGTCGTTGGGTTAATTAAGCGAAATTAAATGGATATGGAAACCGACTCGAAATGCATTAGGCCCATCATCATCCGGCTATCAGCATCTGTGTTTTGTTTGCGTTCCTCAATTTCGCAGCTCAATTTCATTGGCGAGAGGGGAGCGGGCGGACAGGACACACACACACAGGGGACAGCTGCACTGATGATGGGTTAAAGGGGATTCGCATTCAACGGTTTCCATTCTTCATTATTTTCGTTCTCTTTCGTTTTCCTCCGCACACATCACATCACATGCACATGCACACGCATGTACAAACATATTTTGTCGAAAACATTTCGGTGAAATGGGGTCACAAGAAAAACGAAAATTAAAATGAGCGTATGGAAAGAGAAAACAACAAGAGTGCGCCTAACACAAGCACACTCCCCCTCTTTGGCTGGCCTGCCCAAGGTATATCAAATGGAAGGTTAGGCTGTTGCATACCAAACCTTGGTGACAGCCAGTCTGGCTTACCCGTCCATGTTATATTCATTGCGACTGCCTCTCCCTCTCCCACTTTCTGGGGTGTTGGTGCAACGGTGTCGGTCGGGCGATCGCCGCCGCCGCCGCACCCACATGTACCGTGCCGTGCTGACGGGAATGGCAGCAGCGGGACAGTGGGCTACTTTTGTTTTTGGTGGTGTCACCACCACCACCACCACCGAAGCGATGGATGGACGAACGGCCGCCGTACAGCATTGAAAGCATTTCACAACAATGTCCATTTTCATAGTGCCAACTGCAGCACTCTGGCAAGCACATAGGCAAACACACACACACACTGCCAGATACTGCCACACACACCCTCGGAAAAGGGACAGTCTGATGATTGTGAAAAGTTTAAATTTACATTTTGTACATTTGCTTGGTCTCTTGTCTTCCTGTGTGCGTTTATTTATTATGGCCACTGTTGTGTAGCTTTTTTGCTGCTCAGCGTTGCGTGGTTTAGTTGTTGGCGGTACAACGAAATCAAATAAAAGAATGGAACGCTAGCAGTCCGAAGCTTTTGATACCCTGGCAGATTTTTACCTGGGGAATCCAAAATTTCCCTCGGAAGCGCTACGAGTTCAATCTACCCAAATTCATACTACTCTCCTCCAAGGGTACGAGTATAAGGTGACTTCCAAGTTCCAATTCCAATTCCTGTCGTTACGTGCAAGAGAAAGGATTGAATAAATGGAATGAACTGGAATTGGAAAGCAAAGCAGCGATCAACAACAACTACAGCAGCGAAAGAGCTTGACGAGCACTCTCTTTCTCTTCTCCTTGCATTCCTATTGCGTTCCCTGAGCCATGGCCTCCCTCCCCCCTCTCGCACTAAAAAAAATGCACATTCACTCACGCATTGTCCGAGCGGGTTGGCTGCTCTTTTGTCGTAAACTTTGGCCATAAAAGAAATTTATTCTCGTATTTATGTACATTGAACCAAACCATTGGCCGACACAGAAATCCCCCCAAAAATATTATGTTTTTTTTTTTGGCTTTCCCCACCTCACCCCTCAAAAAACAATCCATTGAACCAGGAAGATAAGAAATAACAACAAATGTGAGGAAATTCTCATTGCGGATTTGGGCCGAGTGATCTGGAGGCCTTCCCTTCCGTCTAGGCAAAAAGAACTTCCGTAATTCAAGGAAAAGTGTGTATGTGAATGGATAAAAGAAAAACAATAAATGTACTTCAAAATGTAATAAAAAAATATATCGATTTTATGAACAGTTCTATTGAGGGGGAAGTCAAGCGAATATTTTTTCCTTTAAATTCTCAAAAAAGAAGCCCCAAAAGTTTAAAAAGAAATTGTGGAATTCTTATAGATATATTCAAAGAGCATTTCATTTGATTCCAAAATAACTTTACGGTGTAATTCTCAATTCTGGTTCTATTATTACCATCCTTTAGCCCTTCCCTTTAATCTTTTTTAAAACAATACCCCCAAAATGGTATTTTGGCCCGGATTATGTTCTCGTCCATGTTTTTCCTATCTCTAGAGATAAAAGTGTTCTTCCCTCAACCCATGTTCCTGACCAACTTTAATTGGTACTTAGAACTGGGCCAAAAACAATTTATCATAACCATGATTCCCAACAAAAAAATAGAGGGAATAAAATGCAGTTCACAGTCGGCTAATAACCCAAAAAGTCGAGTTAGCTTTAATGCCAGTCACTCACTCCCTACTGCCACTACATCTGGCCCTTTGGCCCTCTGCTGCTGGCCGGGAATCATTCAAGTGCAGCATTTTTGTTGTCTTTACTACCTGTGATAAGGCCTGGAGAAATTAAGAGCCAGGCCAGCTCTCTGATCTTTGATCTCCTTTCTGTGTGTGTTTTCAGCTCTGTCTGTCTTGGTCGCCCTTGTACCCTGTCCCCTGTGCCTGAACGTGACTGACCAGACCCAGAGCCAGTCATTCCCAAAGCCAGGCCGTGGCCTGGTGTGGAGTGGAATGGAGTGCAGTGCGTTATATGAGCCGAAAATTGTCTGTGCTGTGTGGCAGGAGGAGGTCTCTTTGTCTGCGTGCACGAGTGCATCCGTGTGTGTGTGTGTGTGTGGCAGGCAGATAGAGACATGAGGCAAGGCGGATAATGATAATGGCATTCTGGTTCTGTGAAAGCGATCAGGTTACGGCCACGAAGCGACAAAGAGAGAGAACATCATAAAACGACCCAAAACTACCTACGCACAGAGGACTCCCAATTGGCCAGGAGCCGAGGGACAACCATAGAGCGGGGGGGAGGGTCGCATCAGATCGTTTCAGGCAGATGTGCGGATCATTGACAGATGCCCAAAATAGCACAGATTATTCGCATTCCGTTTGGGCGTGTGTCTGGAAGGGATTGAGGGATTGAATTGGCCAAAGAGTGCAGACTGCTTTTCAAGGCAGATGCTGCAGACGGCTTGCCAAAAACTAATTGAACATTTTCCATTTTCTAAATAGAGAAAATATGCAAATCCAGTACGCATTTCAAATGAATGCTTTTCCCGGCTTCAATTTCTCTAATCGATTCATTTCACTTTGTAGTGGTTCGATGTGCTTGTGGATGTGGCTGCCGACTTGGGGATGCTGGATATTCGAAGACCGGCATCAAGTGGCTTCAATAAATTTCGATTTTCAGTTATCCAAAACACATATATGCTTTCATGTGCTTATGTAAAATGCCTATGTGCGAGTATGTGCGTATACAGAACTTTGATTTCACTTAAACGATTTACCAGTGTGCCCACTGATCGTCCACTGACGCCTTCAACATACCATTCCCCCGTACATTCTGTTCTTTCGGGCACACCAACGTGGAGTACACATAGACATACCCCCTCTTGGCAGTCTCCCTCCCCTCTACTTCTGTGCACGTGTCGGCAGCACTTAGATGGGGCAAGTGCCACGGATTGTGCGGGCAGCCAGCCAACAGAGGGTCGGTTCGGCCATATAGCCGGCTACTATATAGTCATTCAGCCAGAGTCGTAGTAGTCAAAGTAGTCGTAGATGAGCGCAAGGCGAGGCGCGACTCGGGCTACGCCTAGCGCATAATAAACTGCTCCGAGAGGCAGGGCTGGCGTTTCCCCATTCCCATTCAAGTGGCTCTGGCGGCTTCTAATTAATATGCGGCACTCCTTTCTTGTTCTTCCCCTAGCCAGAAACGACGAGTATTTGGGCAAGGTTTGTTCTTCGATTTGGGTTATTTATTGCCATTTGGCGGTCTGTCCTCCATTTGGGATGGTTCGAAAACCCTTGGTTGGCTGAGCTAGACAACACCGCTTTTGGCTTCCACAGACATTTTGGCACAAGACACAAAAATATTTGAAACTTTTTTGTGACCAAAATTTCAATTATGTTAAAGAAAATGCCATTAAAAAAAAAAAGTATAGAAACAACGATTGAAATATTTTTGAAGTCTAAGAACTTTATGACTTATGAATAATCAGAAATTCTTTTTATAGTGGATATACTCGTAATATACATATACTAAATATTGTCCAACAATTTTAGACATTTTAATCTCAAATAATTAAATAAATAACTAACTAAATATGAAATGCGATACTCTTTGCAATTTGGTATTTATTTTTGACAGATTGTTGGCAAATTTCGAGAATATATAAAAAAGTTTAAGGTGAATCATAAGTTGTGGATTGTTGTGGATATTAGGTATATGATCTAAGACATTTTCCATAATTCCTTAATGGACTTAACCCAAATTTAAGACATTTAATGTTCCAAAATAGCTTGCATCGACATATTTCAATGTATGTAATTTCTTCTTTTTCTTGAGTACTCGTACAGCAAGTACTGTGCACGTACTCTACCCCACATAAGTTGCCACTTCTTCTGTATTGGTCATAAATTCTGAAAGTATTTGTATCCCAAGCCGAGGCATCTGCGGCTTTTGGACTTCTGTTGCATCTGAATCAGCATTTCAGTTGAGTTCTTCATTATCGTTGTGATCATCAGAGTTTTATGAATACATACGAGTATTTATGTATATATGTATATACATATATACTCGTATGATGCCCCACTTGAGTTGCAGCAGCACTCCCTGTTGGATGGGATGCCCGCACCCCGGCAACCCATTCAGCGGCAGCCAATTCGCCAGCAACGTTAAGTAAATTGATTCTTTAATTGTCGAGAATTGGTTACGAGTTTGCTTAACTCGCTTTTGCCGGCTGCCTTTGCCTCTGACTCTGTCGCTGCCACTGCCACTGACTCTGCCCCCTCGTGCCCACACCACAAAGCCCCCATCTGTGATGCAGTGGATGCAGCCGCGTGGCAAGAGAATCCAGCACGAATACCAGGCCAGGGCGATGAAGTAGAGAGACACACCGAGAGGCACGACCAGAACCGACAGTCGACAACCATCGATGAGTCACATATTCCAAAATAAATGTACCCGGTCCCGGCCAGAGGCAATGTAAGATGAAGAGGAGGAGGAGGCATTTCTGCACAAGAATACACAGACAAGGGCAGGGCCCGTTCTGCTCCTCACTCCCCCACATCCAGGGGCACAACGAAATCTCTTTTCATGCATTTCTGGGCTCCTCTTTCTGTGTTCGCTTCGCGGTCATTTGATGCCTCCTTTCAATTCGCACCAAGCCGACTGAAAAATGCCATGTAATTCAATCCCCCAAGCGAGAAAGAGATGGCACCACAGAAAGAGAGAAGGAGAGAGAGAGAGGGGAAAGAGATATGTATATGGCAATACTCGGATCTGATGATCATCAGTTAGACTTGTTGTTTACCCATGTCAAGCATTCAGGGAGACAACTATGGAATATTAAGTAAATATGTTAAATATGGTAAATATAGAGAGAGGGAACACACACACACACACACAGAATTCCTTGCGAAACTTCTGAGAAGATCAGTGAGGGATCGTCTTGAAAGAGAAACCATCCTTAGCCAGTCGATTGCACCCAAAGGGAACGAACTCGTTTTCCTATTTGGCAATCCAATCACTCTGATCATAATCGCATTGTTTATGGCTCCAGGGTAAGCAAACAACACCCAGAGAGAAAAGGGTGATCCAGGTGATCTACGGACACGATCAATAATGTTCTCACGCTTCTCCTGCGACACGCTTCTTTAGCGGAAATCTTACCTACTATTGCGGTGAGTCGAGGGCTAATTAATACGCGAGACCCCGAGAATCTGATGCCGCGGCTGATCGCAACCCCAGCTGGCTATCAATGCGATTGTTTTTGCCATTCCTTAGTTTGCTCATTTCCTGGGTCGTCCCGCCAGGCACCGCCCGGGCGCGCCCGGGACTGACAATAAGAAGAGTCTGGAATAATTAACAGCCGTAACCGATTCGGAATCACAAATGGCAAATGGCACACACCTCTAGCCTTCGCTATTTGCTGTCCCCTCCTCAAATGCCATCCAAACACACACAGTCACTTCCTACTGAATGAATGAGTGAGGAAAACTTGAATGCATTCAACTACCATTCATCGGATCGGTCGTTTCGTGATAAATAACTGAATTAATGCGACAGCCTGCAGTCGATAAATTATTGCATTTACTGTTCGATGCAACTGGCTGTAAAATGTGCAGAAATTATCAAACTAATAGCAACCATAAATAAAAACAGTTAAAAAAAAAAATTGCATTTGAATATAAATCGGATATTTTTTTTTTGCACAGTGGCAAAAATGCCAGGAGATGAAAGATCATCAGCCATGAATCATTGTGGTCTAACGAGTATTGCGGTAAATATTCATTGAATCATTGCTCATCCAAAACCCCCAAAAAAAAAACAGAATCATCTGAATCATCCCAATCATGGAATGCCAAAACCATTAAAAAGCTCAAAGTTCAGATCTTAGCTAAGATCTTAGCTAACAAGGGGACAAATGTAGGTCAGAACTAGTTTGAAAAAAGCCACTCAACAATCATTTCGACTTATAGTAAATTCCTGCATTTCAAATCCGAATCTGATGCGGTGCGATTAGTGTGCACGGGGTCGGACGGCCCCAAGCCTCAAGCCCCAAGTCTGATTAGATAATGCACTGAACTGGACCCACGATTGCATCAGGTCTAACCCCAAATAGCCACTTCACTTTGATTTCCCGCACTTACCCAGGGAGCTGCCCACGATCAGTAGGAGTCCGGCAATTAGCAGAGCTCTTCGGGACATCATTTTTGATGGATTTCTGTATTAGATCTGCTCGCTCACTCACAGCCAGGCGACGAATATGTATCCAATGGGTTGTGTATTCGGTTTTTGTCCAATTCCAAATCTGTGTCACTCTTGATCGGTTGTTTGCTTTTCTTTTTTTGTGTTTTATGCCGCGTAATTATGTTGACGGTGGATCGTTCCAATTTCCGGCTAGCACTGTCAGCACTTTTCTCCTTGGGGAATTTTTTATTGATTTCAGAACTATTCTTTTTTTTCAGAATTATTACAACAACTCTCTAGCGCACACACAGAAACGGACACAGCCACAGCGCTCACACGATCGATCTACAACCTCTTTTTTCCCTTTTTCGAATTCGAATTCGAGTTTGAATTGAAATTCCGTTATTACCGTTCGGCACCAGAGCAGAAATACAAATGAGCATTTCTGTGCTAGTCTGCTTTATGCTTGCTTTGGGCCGCCGGTCTTGTCTGCCATGTTGGCAAAGAGAGCGTAAGCAGCGCGCGCGCTCGTAAGAGAGAGACAGAGAAAGAGAGCGCTGCGCGCTGATGGTGTGTGGCGGGAATAAAGTGTATTTTGAAAATATTCAATTCTGTTTCAGGGGCTATATATTTATAGAAGGAAAGCATTTCCTGGCCATAAATATGAAAGCGAAAGGGCTTAACGGATGTTGACAGAGGAAAATATGGATTATACATAATTATGCAAGATTTTGGGCCAAGGGCTTAACAGAAAGCGCTCCCACGAGCCTTGTTTAATTTCCAATTAAAATCTTAATTATTACTTCATATGTGTAACAGAACTCCCTCGAGTATGCCACATGCTTGAGCTGAATTCCTGTAACTGCCCCTGCCCCCTGCTCCCTGCTCCCGCCCCTGCAGCAAGCCAGTTGCACTTCAAGATGATTCGCGGAAATTTCTTTGCATCCCCCAAAGACAATTTGCTTAATGGAAACGCGAGTTCTCAGGCATCCACGGCTCGAGTCTGGGAATGGGAGCTTGTTGATGGCACTAACAAAACTGTGATTTCCTTGCGGCAGACCAAAGCGATGGGGCAAGATGGGATGATTGGGGGCACTGTGTATACTTGGGGTGGCTTGGAGTGGCTTGGGGTGGCTAGTCATGGTAAACATGGGTATGTTGCACTCACGATGAAAGCCCATCAGGAAAGTTTGAAGAGGTTTGTTCTGGAGTTAATATTAAAAAATATTGCAAGCAAATTTTGGACTTTGATTACTGTATCCAAAATTATATTTAGATGCAAATCTGCGTACTGGGTATTTTATAGTCGTCTACCATGTAAAGTTATCCTACTTGTTTGCTTATTTGTCAGTGTCTGATGACGCCTACATTGGAGACAGGCACATTCAGAGACACAGATACCGATACAGGCAATCCAACAGATGCAGATACAATTTATGCCCGGCCACAATGTCAGGCCGCAGCGTCAGCATTAAATGTATCTACACACATGCATACATAAACGTACATGCAACATTGGCACTGCACAAACAAACAGACAAACAAACAATTAAAATTAATCTACGAGCATAAAACAAAGTGCATTGCATTATGTATTGCACAGAGATACAAACATATCTGTAGCTACGACTATGTGTGTGTATCTGGTTATTTGTTTTGTCTTCTGTTGGGTGCCAAGCCTGTAAACATCCGCAAATCTAGAGCTATTCCTTTGGGGGAGCCAGCCCCCCATTCGAGGGGCGTGGTTATTAATCAAATATTTATATTTACACACACACACACACAGAACGCATACAGAAAAGTGAGAGATTTCTTTTGGTGGCGGCGTTGCATCCACAGAATTTCTAAGAATTCCATTCTTCCAAAAACAAATTAATCAAACAACAAGTAAAAGCATCATAGACAACATTCCGACTATAAGATACCCGATATTCAAAGAATTCCAAGACGAGAACCATGTCGGGAATAACTTACCGATCGCTGAATAATAAATTTTTGCATATCTGGCGGAATATGGATATATTTCTATGATTTATTTTTCTGAAGATGATATAGACATAGAAATATACTCTTTGATGTTAATGCATACCCCTCGTACCCCTGCAAGTACAGGGTATAGCAAGAGCGACAACAAAGCTAAAAGCCATCCGAAACAACAATAAAAAAAACTATGCGCTGTCAGCACAAAATTAGTTAAGAATCGAAATACGCGCCAAGAGCCGCGCAGACTCCCCGTGGACCGCAGCGGCAAAGAGAGTAAATTGCCATTTAAGAGAGCGTTTCATACAGTTTATGCTTACTTCTAACAAATAGTTGGCAGCGCGGTGCAGATAGAGTTGGCATTGCAGTGGGATATTTTATGGGGGGCGTTGGGTGGTGGTGTAGCGAGTTAGTAACTGCTGCAATAACTGCACAATCCAAGGGAATGCTGGAAACTGGAACTGCACAAGCATTTCAAATGGAATTGACCTAGGCTCTCTCTTTAAGGTTCGTGCATGGACGTGCATGCCGAATGGGAAATTGAGTTCTTCACACTGCAGGAAGCCCACCGTGCTCTCCCTCTCTCTGACACATTTTTAGCTTTTTGTTTCCAATAGGGCACTCCTGCGGCTGTGCAATATATGAGTCATCTCCCTATTGCCGACGCTTTGCGCTCGCGCTCGCGCCTTCTCCTGTTCATTCGGTCTTTCGGTTAATGCTGGTCGCTGTCGCGCTCTGCCTCTTCCCGCCACGGAGTACATATCCAGATGGTTCGCTCTGGCGGCACCGCAGTTCACCGACGACGGAGCAGGCAACACAACACTACAACCCACGCAAAAAAGCACACAAAATAACAAATTTCAGTGTCTCGGCAACGCTTTTCTGGCATTGCCAACTTATCCTCCGTCGCAGCAGCAGTACGAACGGGTTTCGATTCGGGATTGTGACCAGAACAGAACGGAACATAAAAAAAAACAACCAGAACACACTCGTAAAAGTGAAAAGGATTCCAATAAAGTGTTATCGTAATTGGAATTTGCATACTTCTTTCGGAAAACAACAACAACAGCAACAGCAACAAAAATGAGGCATCTCTGGCTGCTGGCTCTTATCGCCTTTGGATCTTCCCTGTTTTCAGGTACGAATTGGTTGCATCTCCCCTCTTACATCTTTGCCGCTATTTCAACTACATATACATACACACAACACACAGAAACATATTAATTTTAATTCAATTTACAATCTTTATGAGTTCTGTATGATACAGCTTGAACTCCCTGGGGAAAACATACAACACAACAAAAAAAAAAAACTACGATTATGCGGGTTCCACAAAGTTCTTCAAATGAACTCTTTACAAGCACGATTCTCTCTAGTCAGAATCATGTTTCCCTGAGAAATATGGAACAAAGAAATACTTATAATTCTCTTCTCTTCTAGTTCTGGTGCCCCATGTAAATTTGCATAATCTTGAGATTATAATCCTTGGGGAAAATGTCTAGTGCACTTGCCACTGCCTTCGTTTCTATGTGCAACTATGTGACTTTTTGTGTGTGTGTGTGTGTGTGTGTGTGTGTGCTGCAGGCGCTTAAGTAATCGATGGATTACCCTGCACTTACACCCCAGCCATCCATGTTTCTCTCCGTTGACCTAATAGGAAAAAACTTGTACATTTTCTAGTACATGAAAATATGAATTGATACAGCAATTGCCTCATCGCTCATTACCATACCTGATGGAATTAACATCAAGTGTTTAATGGTTAGGTATGCATATAGGGTTACAAATTCGCCATCCGTTTATGGGTGCCCCGTACCCGTACAAAGCTCCAGCTCGGCACCAAACTCCATAAAACACTTGTCTATGACTATGACCCCAACCATCTCCAAGCAGAAGTGCTCGGAAGGGTTTTCACTTTTATGGGTAAGCTTTCCTTAAATGCCATCTGGGTGTGTGGAGGGGAGTGTTGTCTGTTGTCAGGCAGAACGTGTGTCATTCATTGAACGGGATGACAATTTGGGAACCACTTGTAACCAGGGCTTGCCTTGTCACTCTCTTTCTCTCCGATGCGATGTTCAGTGCCTACAAATAGACAAATTAGTGGTACAATACTGTATGGGGCACGGCCAGAATTGGGGGATTGAGTGAGTACTGTGGAAGGAAGGAATGAGCACATTGTTAAAAATATCAACATGATTAAAGTGGCTCTTGAATAATTAAGCAATTGGGAGCGGGCAAAGGGAGCCGGGAGCTGTCAGATGATGTTGATGATGGAAAGGGGAATGGGAATGGGTCTGGGAGAGGTAATTCTCATATAATGGGCGTCTCTTTCGCTGTGTTTCAGGGTTATTAATGCGGTTTATCGATATTAATTATTATACAGATAAGACAGCAGAAGCGTGTGGCATAAGTGAGTTGACAATTTTCTATCGCAGTGGATTAACAGAGACAAACCATGATGGCCATGAGTTTCTGCTCTATGTACATATGTACATTATATCTGTTTCTGATACATCGCTTAGTCTCCAAGGGATGGCTTTATATTTTGTATAATTATTCAGAATTAATGGAATTTTTACTACAAAAAATTAACAATTTTTAGACTCTTGGTCAAATGGTAAATCTCCATAAGAAATCGTTTATTTTAGGTATTATTCGAGCTATGTTAATGAATTGAGTTAATGATCTGATAACCTATCCAGAACATCTTTCATTATCCACGATTAAATATTCTCGAAGATAAAATAGCTGCCATTTGCGTAAGCTGCCCTAATTCCTTAATTCGATTCCTGCCTAAAGGTAAACACACACAAGACCTAACTACGCCAAGGATAAGGAAGGTGTCCAGTCGTGGCTTGTCCTGTCTTGTCTTGTGTCCATTCCTAACGAGAGAGCAAACAAAACTAATAACTTTGGCACACACGCAGTCCACACTACACATATAAAAACACATACCTAAATGTATACCTATATGTATGTATATCTACAATATATAGAGTAAAATTGGCACTTTTAGCTGCCATTAAGCAATGCGCTAAACTTGCAAATGACGCAACCAAGGCGATGTACATCCTTGATCCAAATCTATACACGAGTATGTACACAGACATATCAACCGAAACAAGCGTAGAGTTCGTATGTAAATGCATGTGTTCGGGCGGAAGGGGAGGGGAGGGGAGGAGGTGAGATATTCCTGCTCAAGTCCCGAAATGAATTCCATTCCGTGATGATACTTTTGACGTCCTGACCTCAAAGCAATGGGAATTGTGGCACGTATGTGGCATACCCTCACATCACATCCCCATCCATTCCATCCCATTGCCTCAGTTCACTTGAGTCGGGTTCAGCTGGTTTCAGTCATCCAGAATGGGCGTTGACACGCTCCTCGGGAAAACAGAAAGGGGCTTGGCCCGGTTCCGTTAATGGTTTTATGTTGCCAGGGCCTTGGGGCATAGGCTCACACTCAACTATCGCCAGACACGGAAATCTGTTTTGGAGCTTTCTTGGAGTGGTTTTTCAATGCATAATGTGCCCCGAAAATAATTACAATCTATTCCAGGTGTGCTGACCTTGCCGGAGGCACACCCAGGCAAACCATCAGTGGCCACGACCCCAGCTGTAGGCGGAAATGGAGGAGGAACCGGCGGTGGCGTCGGCGGTGGCGAGACGAGCACCGACTACAGTGAGTACGATGAGGAGGAGCCGCAACGGGCGCCTGGCAACCTGGCCAAGTCGACAGCAGGTCCCAAGCTGCCGCTTCCCTACTTCGACCAGCCGAAAGTGGACATGTATGTGGGTGACAACGGCAGCAGTGTGAAGGTGGATTGCCCCGTCAAGAACTACAATGGTGAGTGGGGAGAATCAATTCACAGTCCGTAAACAACTCTAATTGAATCCTTTTTTCTACAAGCTCAACACCATGCCATACTCTGGTACAAGGATAACAGCGCCATTAGCAATGGAAATACCCTATTCAGCAGCGTCTACGGCCTAGACACCAACTTCACATTGACCGTGCCCGTGGCGGCCAATGCCACGGATGGGCAGAAATACTCCTGCCATGTGATGCCCCCCGATGTGCGTCGCGAGGTGACCATCCATCTTGGACCGGAGCCAAGCACCCCGGCTCCTGCCACCACACGACCTACTCCCGCCGCAGGCTCGGCGCCGACTGGCCAGGATTGTGGCCTCTGGCTTGTGCTGTTCTTGGCCGCCCTCCAGTTGGCAGTTCGCTTCTGAATCTGAATCGGGCCAAGTTCAGTTAACGTAATTCTACCACCGGCACTGAACCTCCCAGCCCGGGGATAATGTTTGGAGATGCGCACCACCCCAAAAACGAGCTTGTCACTAAGATACAGTATGTCAAGAAAGTATTTTCCCATTTGCTTCTTGTTTGGTTATTTTCCCCATCTGCCTTGTGATTACTCTTATTTTCATATAGTTTCCTAACCAGATCCGTAATACTAAGATATTTTTAAATTTTAATCGAAAAATCAAAAAAAAAGGAGATTCCTTGTAAAACCGCTTTCTTGAAACACTGTATGTTTGTCGGTATATCTATGTAATTAGAGAAGAGTACAATCTGAAGGAATCGATTGCTTGGCACATTATGTTTAGGTGTTTAGGTGTTAGGTTGCTTTGTTATTATATTATAGAACATAATATACTACATTTATGTAATTTACTTATGTAGATCTTGGGGAAGCAAATCTTCCTAGGGTTATCTGAGTTATACTTCCAACGTTTGCTTCCTCCTCTTCCAAACTTGATCTGATTGTACTATCTAGAGCACCAGGAATTCTATAACCGCCCTAAAATCTATCTGTATATTTATGTCGATTCCTTAGAGTCGAATACTTCTTTGATTTATAACTAAATAAGTTTTAATTTTAGCTGAAAAGCCAATTAGTTATCGTAAATTGAACTCTTAGTACGCTATTTAATCGTCTAGGATCGAATTACATATAGAATGCTGGCTTTAGTCGGGTGATTAATGAATCGGATTATACTTATTATTAGTGTATAATTGTTTTGAACTTAGCGGAACAGACAACGGACAGTTACCGATGCGATAACAAGTGGCTTAATGAATCGTTATGAAGGATATATGAAGGATATGTGACGAATATATATATATCTATATGTATACATATAAAAGTGAATGTAATTTTTGTCGGATATAAAAGTGAAATAAAACTAGAGCTGCTATAGAACCAGCTGAATCCATTCAAAATGTTGATAAAGCAAACGAAACAAAACAAAATCCACCCCTAATACATACAGGCAGGATTCCATAGCGCACTTTTCACGCGTAGGGGAGGGATGGATTGCGGGAGGGTAGGCGGCGAGACAGAGACAACAATGCGTTCTTGGCCCTGCAGCTGCAGCGCAGCGTAGAAGGAGGAGGAATTCCGCAATGTGCGCAGGGCATGCCTGCCATATGGTTCTCCAGGGTGGTGCTGGTAGTGGTGGCGGCAATAACTTTAGTTTCCTGCTCAGTCGCGAACTGCATAGCGGACAGGACACACTTACATATCGACTAGTCAGGAACATAAATCTGCTCCAAAAGGAAACAACAAAGTGAGTTCCTATCGATCGTACCTTCTTTCTTTGTTAAGAAAAGGAAGCAATACAAATGTATTCCCGTTCCCCCCAGATGATCCCACAATGTGAGAGTCCAGCCGTGTTTGAGGAAAATTTCGTTGGGGAGTCGTCCCATTCTGGCCCTGAGGATTGTGAGCAGAGTCGCTGTGGGCAGGGCCAGACAGCCCTAGAGGTGTACGAGAGAATCCTAAGGCGTCTACAGTCCTCACAGCAGGACCCCCATGCCTCAAGGGTCGATGAAGCCGTCTTGATGAAGCAAATTTGGATTGCCAGCTTTACAGGAAGCCGACTGCAATATCGAATGTAGTGGATCAAAGATTGTTTGTTGAATAATATATAGTAATTATAGAATTTTGAAATTCCGAGTCGAGCGTGTGTTTATATTCATTTCCCCCAACCCCCTAGTAATATTTTCAATACAAACAAAAGTCTCAGCTTTAACTGTGGTTCATGTTTTCCTTTATTTAAGTTCACAACATACAGGATATAATCAAATGTCGGATACTTACCCGTCAAGGAATCAACTAAAGTTTCTATAAACTATATTTTTGTTTTGTTTCATTTGCTTTGGGTATGGGGAAGACATGAAATATACTTGACAAAATGTTGTTATGCAGCATTTTTAATTGTTTATTCAAACGGTTTTTCATGTTCATTTATAAATTCATAGTTTTTTATTTGCTTATTTTAAAGGCTCTTGATGTCTTTGATGTCACAAATGGAATTTTGATCTGTGATAATTCAATCGGGTTATAATATTGATTATGAGTACTTTTATTCTCGACTCTACTGCTACAGACTCGTGTAACTATAATGTATATATATTGATTATGGGAGGATCGGCCGATTCATTAGACTCGTTTAGATTCGATTATAATTGGCTCTGATCGGACAATGCTTTCTTTATATTCATTCATGATGTTTCATTTTATTACACATTTATGGAGAAGAATATGTTTGTATGCATATGTGAAAATCAGGAAATCATAATTGAAAACAGTAATTTTAATAGATATTCATAGGGCTTCTGCTCCGCTCCGTTGACATACGCCAACAGCTCAAAAAGATTTATGGAAATAATGTTTAATTAAGTTTAAATTAATATTCTTGGAATTTTATAATTATTCATTATTTATTCATTGTATATCATAGCTCTTGTCAGGCCAAGAAGCAATTGATTTCTCATTGATATTTCGTTTTCGGTTTTAGGTTTTATAAACATAAACATTGTCCTTAATTATTCATTCATTTATGGTGGAGAGGTGGAATCAACTTGACTTGAGTTCAACTCGCTTTTATTTGAGCTGAGTTTTGTAATATTTATTTATATTTTTTGAGTATGGTATACGTATTGGGTTTATAGGACTTGATGGGCGGTTCGCGCATACGTTTCATGTCGGTTGGATATGGCTGTGGACGTTTATAAGCCGCTGCATTTGTTGGTATTATTGATGGACGTGCTATAAAATTGGTTCATTATTACTTTTAGTATGTTATGCGTGTTTCAAGAATGGTTTAAGTCGTTAAATATAAAACGGTTGATTGTTATTATAAAATTAGTCATTCTTTTGGTTTTTATCTTTAGAAGTTTCAGGTTCAATCACTTGTGCTACATACTACCCCAACGAAACCCATCGAAAGTGCGACCCCTAGAATTTAGAGTGAGGGTAAAATAGGAGAAGATCTAATAGATCCTAGGCTCTACGAACTACGACTGGAAGCAAAAGGCATTATCAACTCCACTTACGTTTGCTGTACTCATAGCCCGTGGGTGGGCCACGCTTGGGAGGCATACGATGTTGATGCTCGTATGCGTAGACCGCCTCCTCTCCCTCTTCGGCTCTATAAACAACAACATTTTATATTAGCTATAGGATCAGTCTTTGGTCAGGGGTTAAGTTGAGATGTTGAGGTGCAAGGCCGCTCCGGTTGATTGGGTTATCCTGGTTGGTCAGTAAATTATACAAAATAATACTTTACAATTAACTTACTCGGGCGGATTTTCCGCGGCTCTCTTAATGAGGTTTATATACTTTGGAGCACTGCTGCTGCCAGCCCCAAACTTCTTATCGAATACAGATCTGCAAGCAGAGCAAAAAATCAATTAAGAAACCGATTCGATCAGTACTAACTCCAACCAGCTTACCTGTAAGCCTCAAGATTCGGTCCGTGGATGCTTTTGGCTGACTCGGGATCCATTTCCATGAGTTCGCGCAGCTGCTCGTGCGACACTTCGTCGTTCTTGTCTGGAATTAGATACTTACGGATTTCGGCCAGGGCGTAGGCAATGCGGGCATAGCACTCGGCCGGGGTGGCCACAGTGCTGACCTCCAGGAACAGATCCTTCTGCAGATGGGAATAGCGCGGATCTCCGGAATTTCGCAGCTGCTCCTCCTTGTTGCGATCGCGAATAGAGCTGCGCCCCTTAATGGCGATCTTGCACTGCGTCTCCTCCTGCAGGCGTCGCAGCGAGTTGCCCTTCGGGCCCAATATCTTGCCGGTGAAATTAAACTGCAAGTAACAGAGGGAGACGGATATCGTAGCTGGTGGATGAATGTCAGATTACCCCCTCTTACCTTTGGATATTGCTTGACAGGTACAAACACCTTCTGGGTGATTTTCATTGGCTTCTGCTTGTACACATCGGCATAGAATTCTTTGCCCGGAATGCGACCTGTGCAGTAAACACGGTCCACAGCTGCAACATGCAAATTTATCGTTAAAATTCATTCACAATTGATTTTTAATCAAGTCGATTTACCCTCGTCAATTAGCAGCGCGCATAGGGGAAATTCGGCAGACAAACGCTGACGCTCCTCATCCAAGTCGGCCAAAAACTTTTGAGCAACCTCATTCAAGCGCGGCTGATGATCATGCACAGGTGGCTTTTCAATGAATTTCTCTATAAATTCGCCTGAACCTTCCATATTAAAATTATTTGTCGCAGTTTATTTTCTCGGAAAATGTGTATAAGTTAGAGGTGTCAAACCATCGAGGGCACTATCGATAGTATCGATATTTTACTGATGGCCTCTACTATCGACGGTTTTGAGACTATCATGATAGTATCGAGCTACAGTCGTTGCGCTTTTAATATGTTTGGATAGGCTGCTATAAAATACGAAGACAAATTTGTAAAAAAAATCGACAGGTGGCATCTAATTTTTACAATGGACAAGTTCCTAAAAGGTTTCAATGGTTTTTTAATAAATATTTCAGCCCGATACCATCACGATAGTATCGATTGTTTTTTCAAAACATTCGACGTTGATATTCCTCGATATTGATATTCCGTTTAATATTACCAGCTAGCTGGGACTCTCAGCCCTAAACAAATAATTTTATCCGATAGATACATACATTTTTTAAGAGATTGGCAAGTTTTCAGAAGTCCTTTTTATTGGATTATTTACATATTAAGGTTCAAACAAAAACAACATAAAACGAATTTGTCGTCGTTTTGTGGCGTTGCCAGACTCGTGCACTTCGTAGTTGCTGCGGGCTGCCATACCTAACCCCCCTTTCTATATAAACAGCTAAAAAACTTTAGTTAAACCGTGGAAAATAATACTGAAGAAACTCCCTGTAGATCCATATTTCCCCTTTCACCAGAACCGCGCGGAAATTTGTAAGGTTTCATCCCATTCGTCTATGTATTTAACTATCCCCCTGGTCGACAATGGGTTAATTAGCTATGCTAATGGCGGCATTAGAGGCACAATTCTGGAAATAAACAAACGACTATAAAAAATACAATGGCTAGCGAAGACATATTTCAGAATGAATACTCCGAAGAGCCGGAGTTGGAAGTTGAGCAAAGAATGGAAACAGAGCAACTGGATGCAGCCGAAGCAGAGGATGAAGCAGAGGCTGGGGCTGCAACAGAGGAGACGAGTCCACCAGCCAACGCTGCCACAGAAAAACCTGGTAAACTGCAAAATTTAAACAAAAAGCGTGTCCACTTTATGAACTCTTTTATTTTAGCTGCCAGCAAGTCTGCCGCCGATCACGAGGCTGGGGCAAAGCTAACCCACCTGCCCGTTGGACGCGTGCGGAACATAATGAAGCTGGATCCAGACATGCATGTGGCCACGCAAGAAGCAGTGTTTACCATGACCAAGGCGGTGGAATTGTTCATTGCCTCGCTGGCGCGCGAGTCCTACACGTACACTGCACAGTCCAAAAAGAAAACAGTTCAAAAGCGGGACGTGGACCTAGCCATATCAGCGGTGGACAGTCTGATGTTCCTCGATGGCGCCATGAACTTTTAAGTGATTAAGCCTTGCACTTGGGCAGTAGTGGACCCGAATAATGTAATTTAAAAATAATCTGGAAGATGCGAAATAAATATTATATGATGTTCCTCTGTTATATTTACCGGTGCTTCCTCCAGTACAGTCAGGATAGCAGAGCCCACCCATAGAGGAAAACAAATGATAATGTACGTTTGTTTTTTATTATTATAATTTTAATTTGTTTTTATTTTAGGGTAGTGTTGCGGCAAACATATTCTGTTGTATTCAGCATAAGGGTTAAAGTTTAAAAATAATATTAAAATTAATACAAAACAAACGTTGATTCGCATGAACAGAAAAAAATAAAAAGTATACATTGAAAGGACAACGTTGAACGTATCCGAATACTCGTTTCGGGGGAATAGTAACGAAGCCGGCAAATTGTTTGTTTTTTTTTTCTTTAATTTTGTTTTAATAATTTATTGTATTTGTTGACGAAGAAATTTGTTTTTGTTGTTGGTTTTAGGGGCGGTCCGTTGACGATACTTACTTGGTCGTTGGGTAACATGTACATGTCTCGACTTTATTACTTGTTGGTTTATCTTATGGAACAATAATTGGAAAACTTAGACTAACATTTCGCTGTGATGGTTTTTTTTTTTAGAAATGAATTCATTTGTTGGGGATTTTCTTTGTTTTTGTGTTCTGCTTTCTTCTCTTGTTAATTTAATGCGGTTTTAACTATAATAAAATTCAGTTTTGTTTTTTGTTTGTTTTTGTACAAAGATTTCAAGTTGTATAAAATTTGATGCATTGATGTCTGTTTGGGATTTTCGTTTGATTGCTTTTGGATTGAACACTATTCGAATATTGGATCAATTGCAATAAAAAATTAACTTGTTTTCAATTTATTTTTGTTTGTTTAAGGCAAATATATTAAATATGTGTGTATAGTTGGATTATTGAATTTTAACATTTGCTTTTCGATAATTTTGTTTTGGAATATTACTTTTATTCTTTATGCTTAACGTTGTTTTGTTGTTTCTTGTTGTTGTTGTTGGGGGGGTTGTGGTTGTTGTAGTTGTTGGGATTTTTGGTTAGGCGATGGGTTAACGTATTTTCGGATATGGAGCCGAGCGGTAACGCACGCTTTCACGAGAACGTGATCCAGTTTCGTACTGAGCAGATGAATGTGATCCCGAGCCCGTGGTGGTTGGGCGATATGACGATGAGGAGCGACCGTTGCTTGGTTTTGCTATTTTGAAAAGAATTTTATTTGTTGTTTAGATTTTTCATTGTTTTTGTCTCTGTGGTGCTTTTCTTGGTTTGCTCTCTGTTTCATACTCTCCTAAGATATATACAATGGTAAAAACGAAAAGGAAATAAATAAATTGCTTAACCGGTTTTGAATGCACTACACCCTGGGAAATCTTTGCCTCTGCGATTCAATTGAATGTTTACATGTTTTTTGTCGCGATTAAAAAAAAAATAAGTTGTTAACAAACTTTGTATCAATTTTTGGATGAAAATTGATATATCACAGTTTGGATTACTTAATGTCTACATGTATTTTGAGCGTTAATTGCGGTTTCCTCGATGCTGTTTAACGGATTGGTTTTCTAGATATGAATTGAAACATTTGCTTTGATTGTAGATTGGTTTTTTGAGCTGTTTTTCTGGACATGTTAGCAGTCTTCCAATTAATGAAGATGATTTCTGGCCGTTGTACTGTTTTGTTTGGTTGATCTCGCCTTTGTTCAGGCATAGTGCATTTAAAATCTTGTTAAATATGGTGGGATGGGTTGTCCGTTGATCATAATTTTGAGACGCGGTTAAATGTCGGTTTCTGGTTTTCTTTTTCTTTTTTAATTTACTTTTCTTATGTTTGGATACTTTTGGTTTTCGGTTTTTTTTTTCTTGTTTTTTTTTTTTTTGCGCGAGTTTAGTTAAAGAGTTTAGTTTCCTTTCTATTTGTTTTTTTTTCGCAATCTCTGTTTTTCTTTGTCCTGCTGTGGGGAAAACATTAATATATGAGCCGCAGAAATATTCTTACCTGGATAGGCCGCCGCATACGATGAGGAGGAAGAGTGTGGATGGTACTCACGCCTGTAGTCACGCTCGTAGGAGGTGCTGTCGTACTGGGCATGGTGGCTCGAGTGCTTCGACGACTGTGGTGGCGGTGTCGCATATCGGTCGTACTCCCCATGGTGGTCGTACAGTTCGTGGTCCCTTGATCTATTCAACGAGAGTCGTGGGTATTCAGGATTGGGATAAATTAAGTCTGGCTAGCCTACCTATGGGTCTTAACTATGCCATAGTTTGGATCGTCCATCACATACCGGGCCTTCTCCAGGATTGAGTACACTTTCGGTTTGGACGTGGCTGGTGGCGGTGTGCTATAAGAAATGCAATCCTCAATAATTGTTCAAAAATCAATCAAACACTCTCCACAGGCATACCGTGTGTTGTAGGCTCCGTGCTCCCCGTATGATTTCGAATAATGGTGAGATTTCTTATATATCCGCTCCTTTCCATCCATTTCACGCAACTGTTCGAGGCGTATGTCATCATTGGCGTCAGGTATCATGAACTTACGTACTTCACCCAGGGCATAGCTGATGCGGTGATAGGCCTCGGCTGGCGGGGCCACTGTCGATATTTCCACATGCAGATCACGACTGAGGTGTGCGTATTTGGGATTGCCCGAGATGCGCAGCTCCTCCTCCTTGCCATGGTCACGCATCGAGTTGCGGCCCATAACGACCATTTTGCACATTGTCTCCTCCTGCAGCTGACGGAGTGTGTTGCCCTTGGGTCCCAGGATCTTGCCAACGAAATTGAACTTGGGATACTCCTTGATGGGGAACAGCACCTTCTGGGCCACACGGATCGGCTTCTCGCTATACACGTTGGCATAGATCTCCGGCTTGGGTATGCGACCGCTAACCAAGATTTTCTCAACCTCTGCGAATGATGGAATAATCGATTAGATGCGCTACTTATTACGTGTCCCAGCTACTGACCATCGTCCAGCAGACGCTTCGTTATGACGTGCTTCTTCTCCAGTGTCTTTTTCTCCTGCAAGCACTCCTGCAGATAGCCATTTGTCTTTTCGTTCAACTGGGGTGTGTCCCGCAGTCCGGCGTGACTGGCGTTGTGGCTACCGTCCGCCTCGGGTGTCTCCGGAGCACCCCCGCCGGCTGCTGCTGGCTCATCATCTCTACGTTTGCGCTTGTAGTCTGCAGTGTCCTCGTTGTAGTCTCTATCGTAGTCACGCGGCATAGTGCTCAAATGTATGCGGCTTCAAGTGAAAGATCGTCCAATTCCACTATTTAAAAAATTTTATTTTAGCTGAAAATAATATTTTTTTGTCTGAAAAAAGTATGTATGTGGTAAGTGGTGTGACCGTCGGCGAACAAACGAGACTTAACCCACTTAACACCCCTCTATTTAAAAGGTTGAGCACCCTATGTTAAATCGCGGAAAATAATATTGTTTGTAAAGGCTTCTTGTAGCTCCATACTTGCAAAACAAAAATGACCAGCGATATCTTTCACATGTAATGCGTAAAAAATGTTAAAATTACATAAATTTCGTGGAAATATTAAATACCACCCTGGTCGACAATGGGCTAAAGTTCTATTTTATTGATTGAAATCGTATTCCATGATTTTTATATTCAGTTTAATATTACTAGCTAGTTGGCCCTTTTAGCCGTTAACAAATCATTTTATCCGATAGATACATAAATTTTCTACAATATTGGCTAGTTTTCAGAAGTCCCTCTTATTGCATTGCTTACATAAAAAGGTTCAAACAAAAACGGCCAAAGCATAAAACGTAAATGTTGACAAAATGTGACGTCATTGTTGCTGGTCAACCAAGTTTCTTCTATGCGTATGGGCTTTTGTGTACCTTATTTCATTTAATTAATGTTAAATTTGTTGTTCCAAGCTCCATTGAAACATTAATAATGATTTTATCCCAGATTGATAGTGCGAACGTAACAGCACCTCAAGTGCTGTTATCTGGCAGCCATGGAATCGCGCTTAACAGTACGCGGGCGAGCACACGGGCCTCATCTGAAGCAGTCAGCGCAGCGTTACCATATTTCGGCATAAACACAGTAAAAATATACGAATAAAATACACACTTGAGAGAAAAAAAATTAGGGCCATAGGAAGGTTGCAGTCACACATTTGCCAAAACCGAATCGAATTGACTGCAGAACGTGCGGCGCACAGTGATAACCACCCACTATTTGGCAATAAACGAGGCGACTAATTGAGAACGGGCTCCGTTGGGGAAGCAGGACAAATGGCGGAAAACGGAATGCGTGTGGGCCCAGGGTCATCCGTAGTGGCGGCAGCGGTAGGCGTTGTGGTTGCGACGGGCGGCACAGTTGCCAGCAATGGCGAGCACGAGAACGAACATAGTGCGAATGGGGATATCGAAAAGGCTCAGCCGGCGCCGGCCATTCAGAAATATATGCAGGAACTGATGACCGAGCGGTCGCGCATGGAGAACCATTTTCCATTGGCAGTCAAGCTAATCGACGAAGGTAATCGATCCGAAGCGTGTGTTTTGCTTGTCAAGTGTTCAATTGTTTCCCCTTTGCGACCATCGCATCTTCCAGCTTTGGAGCGGGTGCAGCTGAATGGGCGCATACCCACGAGAGACCAGTACGCGGATGTCTACCAGCAGCGCACCATCAAACTGTCGCAGAAGGTGCACGTGCCCATCAAGGATAAGAAGTTCAACTATGTCGGCAAGCTGCTCGGCCCCAAAGGCAACTCGTTGCGACGTCTGCAGGAGGAGACGCAGTGCAAAATCGTCATACTCGGTCGCTTCTCGATGAAGGACCGGGCACGCGAAGAAGAGCTGCGGAACTCGGCAGACGCTAAATACGCCCACCTGAATCTTCCGCTCCACGTCGAAGTATCCACCATTGCCCCACCCGCCGAGGCGTATGCCCGCGTGGCCTACGCCCTGGCCGAGATTAGGCGCTACCTAACACCGGACAAGCACGACGACATTCGCCAGGAGCAGTACAGGGAGCTCATGGAGGATCCCGAGGCGGCCAAGAAACTAACACTGCGACAGCTCCAGCTGCAGTCGAATGTGGCTGCCAGCAGCGGACCACCTCTCTCTGGTGGCAACAATGGCAACGGCAACAATCGCTCTGGCGGCAACTACAGGTGGGTACAGGTGGCTAACCTCCCGCTACACAGTCTCACTGATTTTGATCCTTTTGCTTGCAGACACAAGTTTCAGCAGCAATCGCATTATCACCACAACGAAGAGACTGTCTACTATCGCTCACACACAAACGCCTACCACCAGCCAAAGCCCTACGTGCCACGTAAGTGTCGAGCCCCAAAACTGTTGGGTTTTTCTAACCTAATTCTATCCCTATTTTAGCCAATCAGCGGGGAAATGCCATGCACACGACTATGCAACCTCAGACGATTGTGCGAGCCTCGCCGCCCGGCATGGTGGTCAGTGCGGCCAGCTTCAACGGGCGGAATGCCGGCATGGGCAATGCCGGTGGTGGCGGTATAATGGCCAATAGCATTGTGGCCACCACAGGCGGCGGCCTCGGTGGCACAGTGCAGCAGACCATGCGCTACCGTCCCGCTGCCCCCTACCAGTTTGTCAAGAAATAATATACATACAGCGCACAGTCATTGTTGAACCATTTCGCGGCCACACCATCACCGTCATCACCATTGTCCCATCCCCACGGATCCACGCCCATCCACGCGATCACACACGCTGCTCCAAAGGTAGAAGTAATCATTATAAAAAACATTGAACAGAACAGTTTATCACACATTGATGTTTACCAATATTTCGAGAAAGTGGAAACCAAAACGAAACGAATCGAATCGGTAAATGTATGATTAAGAAAACTAGCCTAAGTAGACGAATGCTCTAAGAAACAGATGACGAGGAGGATCGATCACTCTACCCCCCAGCCACCACACACGCACACACACACCCCACCCCCACCTGTACACCCACACACACACATGGCCACACGGCACTCCTCGCGCACTCGGCAAATATAATTCGGTTATTCGGCATCGGGGGAATTTGCGCTGGGAAAAATTGTAATCTGCGTGTGTGTGTGAGTGTGTTGTGCTCTGGACTCTGCGAGCATTTGGAAGAGCCCGAACACACCTCAATGTGGATCGAGTCGAGTCGAATCGAATTGAATTGTTTTTTTCTTTATATATTCAGGAAGGACCACAGTTGGCCCAAATGTCCTTGTTTTTTTTATGTTTTTAATCTTGATTCTTTACTATTATTATTATTTTTATCATTATTATTTTATTTTTGACGAATACGTTTTCATTTAAGAATATATCCTTTCATATATAAGTATTTACGTCTGCATATACGTACGTATACCCCACACTCCCCCGCAGCTGCTTGAACTTTATGTATGCTTTATTTATCCATCTCCCTGCGTTTTTAACCTACCATTTTGTTTAATGCATTTTTTATTACGTTTACGATTAGAGGAGGCTTATTATTATTATTATTTTTATTCGTTACGTTGCCACGACAAAAAAAAGAAAGAAACCTATTTCAGATGAGAGTATGAATATAATATATATAGATATACACCCAAACACCCACAAACACACATACACATACACACATATATATTCAAAGCATCAGCATATAACTACATTAAAACCAAATGAAAGAACTATTAACGCAAAGGAGAATGAATCTACATCTAGATCGAGGCGAGGAATGCCTACGACTACACGATAATATAACGTATATAGCCATGCCCACATCCGACTCCGACTCCGAAAGAGAGAAGAAGTAAGCAAACATACATACATACATAAATACATAATTGTTATTGTTGTTGAAAGCAACTAAAATTGTAATAGAAATTATGCAAATATACATACAAAATATGACGACAAATGTTAAATTGCAGCTTAGTTATTATTATTATTTTGTTGATCCTCCGCCGCACAAACACACACCCACACACATCCCCCCTTACCAATAGAAAGAGATGTGGAAAAAGAATATAAAATGTAGAAGATATAGAGTAGCCCTATAGCTACATAATCGCATATATGTAGTAGAAGAGGGTGTCCGCGCCCCCACTGCAGTTTGAGTTTGATTTTGTTGAAGATGCGCTTCTGAAGCCACACAAACTGAAACCACCCACCCATTGATTTGTATTGATTTTTGAAACCAATATGCATACATATACAATACATACATACATATATATACAACAAATATTAACTATATATTTTACAGTGCATTATTATAAATTGCTGATTATCGTTAAATAAAATTCCCCATTTGAATTCGCCATGTTGACTAAACGTGCACCCAGAAAAAAAATAAAAAACAAAAATCATTAAATCCATAATTTATCAACAAAATTGGACAACTACAATTATTGATTTTCATTTCATTAACAAGTCATTTTATTTATGATTATTAGCTAACAAATACGGCATAACGATAGTGATAGTGCCCCGTGCCCCTCTACAATGACTTTACGAGCTGCATTAGCGTGTAGGGATTCTTATTGCTCATGAACTTTAGCTGCTCCTCGAAGCCCTGCGGCGTCTTGTTGATCCAGTGGCGGTCCAAGTAGTAGTTTATGTAGCTGTGGAACTCCTTGTCCGTGTAGTTGTCCACGTGAACGGGCACAAAGGGATCGATGTGCTCGAAGCCCTCTGTGCCCAGCAGATAGCGTGGCATATACGAGTCCATGTAGCCCTCGGTCATGGCAATCTTATCGACGGACAGAATGCAAACTCCATTGGTCCAGTCGTAGCTGGTGATGTCGAGGAAGGGCTGTGTCAGCGTAATGCGATCTGGTGTCACCCGCTGCTTGTTGTCCGAGAAGATGCGCGTCTCGGGATGGAAGAAGGCGTTGAAGCCATCAATGGCCACCATTATTTTGCACTGTCCCGCCGTCGAAAGCTGTTTGAGCTCTGAAATCAAAGCGACCGTTGTATCCGTTGCGTACTTTATGCGCGCTATGCCATGCTCCACTAGCTCTATCAGGGACGAGCCGACGGGTGTACTCTCGCGCTTGCTCCACACATACTCCTTGCTCGTCTTCAGCTGCAGTTGCTGCAGCAGCTTGGCATTTTGCGTTTTGAAATGCACCAGCCAGGCGGCCGCATCGAACGGCAGATCGAGCATACCCTCCTGTGAGGCGTTGGATGCCTCCTTGGGCCGTTTCATCCAATTGGGCGCCCAGGGCACATGCACCAGCAGAAAATCATTTATGGCTCCGTAGTGTAGAACATGGGCCATGGTCAATGTCTTGCCCACACCATTCTCTCCATAGAGCACATAACGCACGACGGGCTTTGTCAGATCTGCGTTCTTAATGTAGTGGAGCAGCTCCAGCGCCGGCGAACGCACCATGAGGCAGGATTCGGTGAATGTCTTTATCTGCTGCTCGTACTGTTTCGGCAGGCCACCGCCGGTGAAGATCTGCTTTTTCTGCTCCACGGGTATGGTGTAGAATTTGGCCACATGCAGGGCCGAGTGCTCGCCGGGATTGGCAACGGCCGTGCGGAACTCGTTTACGCTTGCTGCCGCTGTTCCCTCAACCGGAGAGGCTTCAGCATTCGTGGACAGTTGCAGAACATTGCGCTGGAGTTGTGTGGAGATACGAGACAGGTTTCCAAAATGTTTTCGAAACATTTTCATTAAGAATTTCCCGTATTAAATGTTAAATAATATTATAATATCGATACACTGTCGAGGGCGATAGCAGTTCAGGGATGGATGCTACATGTGTATGTAAATTATGTGAATTTTAATATAAAACCAATATATAAAATGCATTTTATCCAATTTAGAACCCAGCTAATATTTCTTAGTTAATTAGTTGTATTTAATAATTGTTTATGTTTATTATTGGATTTTATCGATAGTTGTAGCAAAAACTTGCCTGTTGATTCTCATCTCTCCATCCCTGGCAGCCCGGCAAAACTGCGTCTCTTGTGAAATTGGAAAAAAATTTTTGAATTCGACTGGATTTGAGTCTTGTGAGCGAATGAAAATATGTCATCAATTGATAAGCTGTCCATTCAGGGTGTGCGTAGCTTTGGATCCAATGCCGAAGATCTGCAGGTAAGCGTTGGCCCATCGTAAGCTGTAGTTAACCTTAATAAAGCGGATTTGCAGAGTCTAACATTTTCGTCGCCTGTAACGCTGATTTTGGGCGAGAATGGGTGTGGAAAGACCACAGTAATAGAGTGCATCAAGTATGCTCTGACGGGCGAGTGCCCGCCTGGCAGTGACAGAGGAAAGAGCTTTGTGCACGACCCAAAGATCTTTGGGATGAATGAATCCTTGGCCCAAATCAAGATGCAGATTCGGGACAAATGCGGTGCCCGTGTCTCCATCTGTCGCACCATGAAAGTCTCCAGCAAGCGTGGCAAGGTCTCGTTTGAGACTATGGACTCCACAATCAACTTTCTAACCGATGCGGGGCATGTAAAAAGTGAGAACCAGGACTCGTTGAGCGGACGCACCATGGACATTGATTTGGCCATCTCTGACTTCATGGGCGTGTCGAAGGCTATCATAAACAACGTGCTATTCTGCCACCAAGAAGACTCCAGTTGGCCGCTGGACGAGGCCAAGAAATTAAAAGAGAAGTTCGATGCCATCTTTGGCATTACCGAGTACAACAAAGCGCTGGACAAGACCATTAAGATGCGGAAGGAAGCCATGGATGAGCTCAAGTTGATGGGTGAGTGTCTGAAACTTCCGTTTGAAACCATCATAAAGACAAAGTACTAACACAACAGAGACCGGGATGAAGCATGTGGCATATCTAAAGCAAGAGATGGAAGTAAAAACTCTGGGCCTGCAGAAGGCTCAGCAAAAATGTGAGTCTATTAAAGCGCAGTGCAGTGCCTGCGAGGAGGAGATGAAACCCATTGAGACTAGGCTGCGAGAAATCCTAGACATTGAAAATGAGATTGGAAAACATCAGGCGCAAAAGGTGGAAATGGACACCAAGTGAGTGTGCTGCAGATCGTTCCTTACCGAAATCTAATTATCCCACGATTACTTTACAGGCACAAGAACTGCAAGGAGCAAATTTCAACCATTTCCAGGAAAATCAAGACCCATTTTAAAGGTTCTTTGGTTGAATTGGATCTAGAGATTGGCAACTTTGATCAGCGAATGTCTGAAATGAGGCACAAGCGCTCCGAGACGGAGGAGCAATTGTCCAAGTTGAAAAAATCCCACGCCGAAATGCATCAGACACAGACCGCGCAGGACAAGAAATGTTGCCTGGCCAAGCAGCGGCACCAGAACGAGCAGGCGTGCAAGACACAGCTGGTGAAGCGGGTCAAGGATTTCTGCAGTGAATTGCAAATTTCCGTACCGGGTGATCTGATGGCAGAGCCCGAGAATCTGGTTGATTTACTGCACGACATCGAGGAGGTGATCATGAGCAAGCTCTGTGAGATCACGGAAGTCTCCAATCACAACGATAGCGCTGATAAGGCCAGGCAGTCAAAGATCGACGAGCTGCGCATTGATTTGACCAAGTCGGAGCAAGGCGTCACAGCGCAAGAAAAGCAAAAGGAGGCCAGCAAACGGGAGAGTGAGACACTGGAGGTCAAAGTGCAGCAAATTGAAACCAACATGCACGAGTTGAAGCTGCTGGAGAAGCAGATAGCCGACGCCGATGCCATCTACGAGCGCACATCGAAAAACTTCAATCAGGAGAATTTCCGGGAAATCATAGGCGGCAAGAAGACCAGCATAGCCCAGAAGCAGGCCCTCTTCAAGAAACTGGATGAGCAACTGACGTTCCTGGGATCCATGGCCAAGCTGGTGGCCGAAATGAATCTGAAGGAAAAGGAGCTGGAGAAGAAGAACCAGGAGATCCATCGCGTGCGCAGTCGTCATTCGGATAATTTTGGCAAGTTCTTCAAGGAGCCCATCTCCAGCAATTATCGCCGCTCCCTGCAAGGTGCCTACGACAAGGTGCGCCGCGAGATCCAAGATCTCAACGAGCAAGCCAATGCGCAGAAACTCAGGGAGCAATCGTATGAGATAAAGCGCAAGAATCTTATGGCGGACATTGCGCGAATGGAAAAGGAGTTGAAGGAGGGCGAGGAGCTCATATTCCAAAAGTGTCGCTCCACACCATACGATGAGCTGCTGGATCGCAGCAAGCTGGCCATTTCCAAGCTGCAGCTCGAGCACGGTGCCCATAAATCCGCAGAAGCTCTGTACAAGAAGTGAGACCAAAGAGATTACGCTGAAAAAGGCCCCAAAACTAAATCATATTTACTCCTAGATATATACAAAAGATTGATGAAGAGCCGTGCTGTCCCCTATGTCATCACAATATGTCGGGCGATGAGGTGAGGTTTGCGGGCATGCTAGCTGTTGGCAATCAATTGCAATCCTTTGATTCTAGGCCTGCGATCTAACCACCGAGCTGTCCGATGAAATCCAAAAGTTGCCCGACAACATAAGTAGGTCGGAAAAGGCGCTGAAGGCCGAGCAGCTGAAGTACGAGAGCTTGCTGCAAATCAAACCCAGCATTCTAAAGGTGAGTGAGCTCAAAGAGATCTTGCCCAAGAAGAAGGAAGAGCTGTCCGAAATTGAGATCCTGCTGGGAGAGAGTGTCAGCGAATATGAGACGCTGATTGCCCTGATTGGAGAGCCCACCCAAAACATGGACCTTGCCAATTCGATGCTGGGCGATATGACGCTGCTCGATGAAGCCCTCAAGGATTCTGTGCGGGTTAAGAAGGATCTGGATCAGCTTAAGGTAATCAGATGGCAATCTGTGATGCAGCAGGACTCTTACAATCCTTTGTATTTTAGAGCAAACTACCAGACTCGTATGATTCGAGTGTGTCCATGGATGCTCTGCAAGCGGAGAAGAGCCGGGTGTCCAAGGACTTGGAGACAGAACGCAAAGAGTTGGAAAGCACTCAGCATACCTTCGAGCAGCACGTTGACGCTCTCAATCGTTTGCGTGAGGTGAAAAATGGGTAATGTTCTCCAGCTGTCGGTTACAGTCCCCTACAAATCGAATAATCCCCTCTCCAATCTTCCATAGACTAAAAGATAAACAACTAAAGCTGCAGGAGGGCCTGCAGAGCTTGCCACAGTTGAAGGAGAGGCAGACTGAGCTGACTCAACGGCTCGTCACCATAACCACAGAAATAAGCGAGCTGAAGGCAAAGATTCAACCGCTCAAGCAAAAGCTAAGGGCTGCCATAGACGAGAAGGAGCGCCTAAAAGAAGCCGAACGTACAAAGTTGAGTCAGCTAAATGCTAAATATAATTCCTACAAAAGTACGGATCAGGACATACAAAGGTAGGTCCCAACAAAAATATTGTAGTTTCAGCTACAATTCAATCTAAATTAATTCCATTCTCAGGTTGCACAAAGAAGCTCAGGCCTTTGCCAAATTGGACCTTCAGAATGAGATCGGTAAACTCGAGGACTCTATAAGGGCCACCAAAGAACAGCTGAAACAATTGGCAAGTGAATGCCTGCTTAATATTAATAAAACAACTTAATATTTTGGTTTTGGCTCCGCAGGAAGCTGAAATCAATGCGAAAACGGTGCATCTGGAAAGCGTTAAGACCGAGTGCCTAAATCAGCAGACCGTTGAGCGCGATCTGAGAGACAATCGCGAGCTCATGCAGCTGCAGGATAAGGAAACACAGCTGAGAGAAAGCTGCGAGACTCTGGCCAAGAAGTTGGGCAATTTGGACTTGCGAAAAGTGTACAGGAGAGAAAGTTGATTTGACCAAGAGACGGGATGCAGGCACTGTGCGCAAGGGCGAGCTGCTGGGCCAGCTGGGTGAGATCCAAAGTCAGGTGGAGCGACTGCAGAGGGAGATCGATGAGCCGCGCTTCAGGGAGGCGGTTAAGAATTTCAGAAAAGGCAATTTCGATATGTTTATCACGCGTTGCAGCATTGAAGACTTGGCCCATCATCGATTTGCCTTGGAATGGTCCCTCATACAGTTCCATGCGGAGAAGATGGAGAAGATCAACCGATTAATCCGAGAGTACTGGCGTATGATCTATCGCGGCAACGACATCGACTACATACAGGTGAAGACGGACGAGGTCAACACTGATGTATCTGCTAATTGTCGCAAGACCTACAACTATCGCGTCGTTCAGTCCAAGAACAACACAGAGATCGAAATGCGTGGCCGCTGCAGCGCCGGCCAGCGTGTGCTGGCCTCTCTCATCATCCGCATGGCTCTGGCCGAGACTTTCAGCAGTAATTGTGGTGTCTTGGCGCTGGACGAGCCAACCACTAACCTGGATCGCGTCAACATCACATCGCTGTGCGATGCCCTCAACCTGATTGTGGAGGAGCGTCAGTCGCAATCCAACTTCATGCTAATCATCATCACCCACGATGAGAACTTCATCAACTCGTTGTGCAAGATCACCAACTATCATCGTGTCTTCCGCAACGATGAGTGCAAATCGGTTATACGCAAAGTGCAGATCGGTTGAATGTTGTTCCTCAAAGATTCTTTTTAATATGTCTCTTTAATATGTCAATAAATTATTTATATGTACTTCCGTGTTGGAGGTGGAACTTTCAACTAATCAACTCGGTTCAAAAACTAAACCCAAAAAAAAAAAAATAATATTTAAGATGCCAATAAATACTGTGCTTGAAGCCTGTTATCGTAATGTTTGCTCTGCTTGTCAAAAAAATCAATCAATAATTGATAATTGTTCGCAAAGTGTTTTATTCAGTCTCCGGGCATGGACAGGGTCGTGCTGATGCTGCTGCTGGCAATTCTTCTCGCCAATGATGCTCTTGGATACTCCGTGCAATTTGGTATGATGCACTCCCGGGCTGTGCCCATCTATGAGGTAGAAATGTGCTCCAACATATCTGAAACGTTTCTCGATGTGGAGTACAGACAAAAGGTTGGTTCCCTATCATTTGTATCGACGTATGTAATGTAATAATGAAGTAATTATATATTTCTATGCAGGATAAATTGATTTCCAATATTAACCTGATCTTGGTCTTGGATGAGAGTCAAGTGGAATGGCTGGTGGAGGCGTCCATACTCACGGGCGGAATCGGCTGCAACTACACCACACTGCGATTGAGCTGCAGCCAGCCCGAGGAAGCCAAATTTACGGTACTCATCTACGGACTACCCCGGCGGGACGCCTTAAAAATATATCTATCCTAAGCTAGATCAGTCTTTGCTCTTCCTGGGAGAGGTAGAGATGGAGGCCCTCCAGTGGTAGCCATCGTCGGGTAGGTCGCTGCGAATGAGCGGAGATAGCCAGGCTATGTGCATGCGCAGCCCGAAGACACTTCTTAGGTTCTGCCTGACTCCACGGTTGTACTTGAGCTTTCGCTGCTTTGTGCGATCGGCGGAAACTCCGCCACGGAGCACAATCGGCACATGATAGCCCAACAGGAGGACGCCATACGCCAGGGCCAGCACATTGAGGCTGTAGAAGAGCAGGTAGATGTTGGTCCAGAAGCCGCCGGTCACCAGCAGCAGCATGGGGCAGGTGAGCTTGAGGACCGTCAGCCAATTGCTGTATATGCTGCCATGGATGATCCACATGTAGATCGAGTTGTAGACCAGGGCGTACACAGAGCCCACAAACAAGTAGAAAATGAAGCCCATGAAGAAGCGGTGGTTCCGGTGGCCGATGCAGCAGCCCGTGTAGAGGCAGTGGTGATCCCGCTTCAGTATGCAAGTGCCGCATATCTTGCAGTGCCACGATCTGGGCGGTGCCAGTCGCTTGCACTCCTCGCACTCGCGCCACTCAAGGCGCTCTGCCGACTGCTCAGGCGGCGGCTCCACCTGCTTGACTGTGAATTTGAAATGGTTTTTAGGTTCGTTCAACACTGCACCAAGGGCTGGACTCTCTCTGGCTCACCGTCTACGCTGGTGTCGATCATCATGCAGGCAATCATGTTCCCCTTAATGTTGAACACCAGAAACATGGCCATGAGGAAGGTGAAGGTGTGAAAGAAGCCGCCCGGCTCGTGGAATGCCGGCAGCACCACAATAATCTCAAACATGAACACAATCGGCAGAAAAACGCCAATGAGCAGGAAGCACAAGACATCTGCCAGTCGCCGGGGCAGCGGATTGCTCCGGATTTTCATCTTTATTATCTTTGGGTGTTAACGTAAACAAAACTACGAATTACCGATCGCAGTGCTTGGAGTTCCAGAACTGGTGATGGCCTCTCGCTTTCCCATCACGTGCGGCCAAGCTTTCATGTAAAATAATGGGGCCAAAAGCTTTTGTGGGGCCAAAGCAAAAGAGCGCCACACATGTCTGACGGAAAGCTTGGCAAGCCACAGAGAGAAAGAGAGCTTCCAGTAGAGTGTGAAGTGAAAGTTTATCGCATTAAATGTATATTTAAATCAATTAGAAACTTTTTCGCAGGGCAAAGACGCTCCACAACAACTTGATGTGGGACTTGTGCAAGCGGAAGACACTGATACAATTCGTTTATCTTATCAGACATGACCGCACGACATGTGTACGTAAACCTAATTGAATGAAAGTGCCTGGGGCAACTGTTGTCAAAGTAATTAACTTGAAAGGATTTACATACTTCGACGCAAATCACCGCAATCGATGGAGAGCATTAATTATTTGGGTCTTTAATGTGATGGGGCGTTGGCTTTACTCGTTGCTGATTGCTCCTTGCCCTCAGATATTAGGTATTTATGGAGACATCAGCAGGAATTAGCTTAATAGTTGTAATGGAGTCTTCGGTAAAGCGAGAAAGGCAGGGATCCTCCATGTTTCTGTTGAGAAGCTTTGGCAGGAGTCTGCAGGAATTTCTCAGGAGCACGGGACTGCATGGCCTGAAGTTTGTGGGAGACTCCAGTCTCAGCAGCTGGGAGAGGTGAGCGGCCAGATGCGAATTTTTTAATGATTCCCTGCACATTCGTCATTAGATCCTTTTTCTTTTGCTCATTTGTGGTCGCCTTGGTGGTCACGTGCAATCTCATCGTGAACATCTACGCCAAGTGGGATAGCACACCGGTGATAATTGGGATCAGTCCACAGGCCACCTCCATTTTGAAAGTACCCTTTCCGGCCATCACCATATGCAACATGAATCAGGTGCAGAGCAGCCAAGTGTCGCATTACAAAGAGTAAGTTCCGTAGATTTCTATCAACTACATAGACAGAGCTCTAATCGTACAGTGGGAATCGCTGCAGGGGCTCCGACGAAAGCGCCATTTTGAAGCTGTTGTGTAACTCCGAAATGGAGGAATCTGCCGACCTTGACGATGACCTGTCCCACTCAAACTTTGCCCGGAATACCCTGCGGATATCTGATTTCGTTTCGAATCACTCGCAGCACTGCGATAAGATGCTGCTCTATTGCAGATTCAATGCCGTGGAGCACAACTGCTCGCACCTGTTCCAGCAGCTCATGACGGACGAGGGACTGTGCTGTGTATTCAACTTTCAGCCACCAGAGTTCCTCTATAAGCCATTGTAAGAATTGATTTGATTGCGTGGAAAATAACCAAGGAAATCCTCTCCTCTCCTCTCCACTCCAGTTCAAATAGCAGACGAAATTTGACAATGCAGAATGGTTTTAGGGCGGTCAAATGGAATCCAGAGACAGGCTATCCCGACATATTACCAGCCAAATATTATCCAGCAACAGCAATTGGTAAGTGAGCAGCCGCAACAGCCATCAGCTCCATAGCAGCCTGGATAATTAGTAGAAAAATTGTAAATTGTCTAGGGACTGGGATTACGCTGGGATTTAGCGCTGTTCTCGATGCACAGATGAGAGAGTACTACTGCTCTTCGACGAATGGACCCGGCTTCAAGGTTCGAATTTTCCCCATTAAATTAGCTCGTGCTGAAATCCATTTCCGCAGGTATACTTTCACAATCCAACCGAAGTGCCTGTTGTCAAGGAGGCTGGACTCATCACCGCCATTGGCTATGAGACCAACTACCGCATGGAGGTGGTACGCGCCGAGTCAGTGCCAGCCATTCGCTCCATTTCGCGGGATGGTCGCCAGTGCCTGTTCGGTAACGAGAAGGAGCTGATATTCTACAAGACGTACACGCGGCTCAATTGCGAGAACGAGTGCATGGCTGGATACTTGTATGTGTCCTGTGCCTGCATACCCTTCGACTATCCGCAGATCTATAGCAATGCCACAACGTGTGGCGTCAAAGATACTTTCTGTTTGCGACGGGCCCAACAGGCGGCCATCCGTCCAGGCTGGGTCAAGTGCCGGCAGCAGTGCCTGCCCAGCTGCTTCGACCTGAGCTATCTGGCCAGCGGCTTCGCCTTTCCGCTGGCCACCAGCAAATTCCAATTGTCCAATCCGCTGGTGGAGAGCATAAACAAATCGTATCTGAGTGAGAATATAGCCGTCATCAATGTCTACTACCGTGAGTCCGTCTACTATGGCAACATGAAGAACGCCTATGTGGGATTGACAGAGTTCCTGTGTAAGTTGTTCTCCCCTGAAAGCTCATTTCATTCCAATCTCTCGTCCACTGCAGCCAACATTGGTGGCGTGATGGGCCTCTTTATGGGCTTCAGCGTAATCTCTTTGGCGGAAATATTTTACTTTCTCTTTCTGAAACCCCTCGTAGAGCTCTTCCTTTGGAAAAGATCGGCCCAGGTTGACGCTCAAAACACAACCCTAAAGCATAATGCATTTGCAATAGAACAACCAGAGATATCCGATAACAAAGCCATCATCTGGCATGCACGAGAACTGTACCCACAGGGTGTAGCGCTAAAGCACAGCAGAAAACTAAAGAGGAACCGAAATAATACCCGTACAAATTTATTCAGCCACTGAGCAATAATAGAACAGAATTGCAAATGCGGTACTAAATTATTTATCGTTTACATATGTAAGTAAATAACTGCCATCTCATGCATATGAGTTTGCTGACCAGCAAAAAGACAAATACCAATTCATCTAGCCGTTTGATCTAAAAAAAATCCAAATCCAAATCCATTCCCACAAAACGAAACTCTTGAGTAATTGAATAATAAAGAACAAACCCCATAAAACATTTGACTGTTTGAATAATAAATGAAAAATAAAATTAAATAAAATATATCTACAATAATAATTGCGGTATGCAGTATGAGGTCTCAGTTTGAATATCAAACGCTGCTTGATTTACTTTAGTCATTGCGTCTAGAGTATTTCCTGACTGTTGATTGATAAAAGTACAAATAAAAGAAAAGAAAAATACTTTAACTAAAGCAAGTTGTGGTGGAAATATGTATGTATATGTATGAATAATTTAACTCTCTCTCTCAAGCAGTTTCTTCTTGGAACCCACACAGCTGCCGTCGTGCGACCATCGCCAGGAAGCGAGCAGATGGGTCCAAGGCAAAGACCGTAACAGTATACTCGGGACGTGCTTAATGCAATTAACTAAGTTTCTTGGTTAAAGAGGCAGACCTAAGGGTGTACTAAGTATCCCTCTTATTTATACGATGTATTTTATGTCAATAAGAGCATTTTGGCCAAAATTACTTTTCCCCAGCTACGCCAGCGGCAGCAACAGCAGCAGCAGCAGTTCTGGTGAAGTACATAAAACAAGAAATCTGGTTGACTCCTCCTCCTCCTCCTCCACTGGTCTGGTTGGCTGGCAGGCTCCCCGTAGTGTTCGCGTTTATGGTGGTTAACTATCGAATATACTGTACCTACATTTCCCTGTCGTCTTGCAATTCTGGCGGAAATTCTCGTGGCCTGCCTCGTCCCCTGCGTTAATTACTGACCTCAACCTGCCCGTAAAGCGACTAATTTTCGCACACAGCTATTCGGAGGAATGCATAGCGGCGGCATTCATTTCAGCAGCATGCTTCTCAGCTCTTCCTTTGCATTCTGCTCGGCATCCTTCGCTCTATGCGCTTCTTTTGCCATCTGCAGACAATTTCTGAAACCGCCCGAAGGAGCTGGCAAAACAACAAAAAGGGAATGGGGTGGCAGAGGGGAAGCAGCAACGGTAAAAACGGAATGAAATGCATTCTCACAGTTGAAGACAATTTGCAAAATTGCATCGCTCTTGAGGTTTTCACGTGCATTCCATCTGTTTTCTGCCTCCGTGTTTTTATGGCAAGTCAACAATGCAATTGTGCTCTCTTTTCTGTTCTCGTACAGTGCGGTACAGTGCGTTTTAAAAGTGTGAAACACATTTCATAAATGGTGGGTGGGGGCGGTTGGGGATACTTATCAAATAAAAGCCAGGTAAGATATCAATGTAGCCATTGAGTAATCCGGGATTCTTATGTCGAATCATAAACTACAATAACCCAACCAGATAGTGTCTGACTTTTGAACCCTACTCGTTTGGCACTTTATCTTTTGGGATTATCTCTTCCAACGACTTACCAAATTGTCTACAACTGTCCAACCAGAGTACAATGCACTGCATAGTGGGTTGGGGTAGGGGTATGTGGGGGCAGGGCAGGGCTGGGCAGGGCAGGTTTTAGTGAGGGGTTCAACGAGGCCATCTAAAACCGACTACAAAAAGCTTTGCTCTCGACCATCTTTCAAGCGATAAGACAACTGGTGCAAATGATTACGACGTGTTCTGTGTAATCGTATATATACATCCAGAGGGCGAATGCTACGACTGGTAGCCAGATACGAGAAGGTACGAGAAGGGCAGATGTAACAGGACAGCGACAGCCACAGCCCCAGACACAGACAACGATGCTTCGTAAATGCCAAGAGCAGAACTAGATTCAATTCTTTATGGCTGTGTTAACGAGCCAATTCCTATAGCTCCCACTGCAGCTCCGGTGGGATACGAGAAACTTTGGCTTTGAATGAAAAATTATGCCATTAAAATGCGGAAAACAAACACCACAAATAATTTTTAAAGTCAACTCCGGTTAGTTACTGATGCTGTCAGTGGGATTGGATGGGGTAAGAAGAGGGTCGTATGCGCACACGAGTAATTAACATCACATTTTGGGCCAAAAGTTGTCAACTTGACAATGAAGTTGTCTTCCTCAGACTGAGCGCGGTGGTAGGGGGCGAGGCTGGTGTGAAACTCCCTGATTAAGGTATAAATATTTGATAGTAGTGTGACCTCTGTACACCAGCCCACCCCAAACCAGCCCGTGACAGCTTCTACTTAAACATTGCCACTTTATGGGGTTCCGGTGGTCCTGAGGCAAGCGTCTCAGTTATGCATGAAGTGTATTCATCAAAATACATACGAGTAGACTCCGAAAATGTCACCGGGAATGTTGCACAGCGTTTGTGGCACGTGTGTCAAGTGGCAGAGCCGCCTGGAAGGATAGATACGAGTAGATACTCGTACATACCCGTAGATGGGTGCTGCATGCAGGGGAAGGCAATTTAATCGAATACCAAGAAGTCTTCGTTCCAGTCACCCATACACACATAAACAAACACAAACACAAATGTGCCGATGGTGTGGGAAAGAGAGACAGAGAGAGGGAGAGAGAGCAGAGTTGCATGCGGAAAAGCAATTAAAACTTCTTGTCAGTGTCTCGGAAGTGTTTGTTCATATTTTATGATGTTTTCGTGTAGAAAGCTTGATTATGAATGTGTCACCAAGAAGTGTTGCTACCGCTTCACCCTCTCTGCCACGCTCTCTCTCTCTCTCTCTCTCTCTATCCCTCTTCTTTTTCCTGTTGACTGTTGCATGCATGGAGACTGCCTGCCATTGAGGTTGCAAGAATAATGTATAACATATTACACATCCGCTCCGTTGGCACTGCCACTGCCAATGCTAGTGCCACTGCTAGTGCCAATGCCAGTGGTGCCATTGCCAGTGGCTCAACAATGAAGATGGAAGACCGAATTGTGAGAATTTTAAATGTGCAAAGTTTCGGCAAACAAAACTTAAGGCTCGCCACCTCGCCTGATCTCTCGTTTGGCCATACTTACATACATACTCGTATTCGATTGAATAATTTATTGAATTTATCATGGTGTTTGGTTGAGCGTTTCCCCATAACGGTTGAGTGCATCAATATTTTCTCGTAGCAGTTTGATGGCTGCCACTTAGGAGGCCAAATTTGGGCCGAGGCAACCAGCAGCAGCAGCAGCAACAACACAACAGCCAACAATATTGGACTAATGGAACCTTGCAGCCATAATGGCGCTCATACCCATGCTGCCGCCCTTTTTGGCTTATACTATGTATGTAATATGTGCAAAAAAAGGGTTTCATAAGAATGGTTTCCCTTGATACCTGCGGCAGAGCGTCGAAAATATGCAAATTTGTCGTCCTGACATGCACACGCTGGCCATACCCACACCCACACCCACACCTGCCTAATGCACCAAAATGCATTTTAAATTGGGTAATTTTACACATGCCACGCCGCAGGCGGCAGCAGCAGCAGCAGCAGCCAGCAACAGCAGCAGCAAGAGCGGCCGAATTGGGTTTATAAATGTGCGAGCATTTTGGTTTTCGGATTGGACAGATAGTATTCATTGCATCAAACATTCCAGCTGGCTTCTGCTTCTGGCCTGAGGGGGTAGTGTGGAGAATGTCGGATGTTTGAGTCGGTTGGGATAAGCCTGACAGCCTGAATAATCAGGACCATCAATCAGGACTGGCCGGGGCCATGTCGCCTCGTGCCCTGCACACCTCATTAGCCTAATCGCACAATTGCGCACGGCCGGACACACATAAACGTGGCTTAAAGGCTGGAGGCCTTGATGTTGGCTGGAGGTGGGATTAACTTTACCGCAATTTGCCCTCATGCGCTAAACAATATTTCATTTTCAAGAGTTGACTTTTCACGCTGCCGACAGGCGGCTTAACATTTTAAATCCCGACGACCACCACAAGACTTTGTGACTTCTCCTTTATGTTTTATTTCTTTCTTGTTTCCTGTGCGTACCTGCACTTTGTGACTATGTAATCGGTGGCAATGGAAAAGTAAACGGGTACTACACGGATCTGATACTCATGACATATGCTTTTATAGAGAGTTTTGAAGATGAGCTTCCGGAAAAACAGGAGCAGGCCCGAATGAAATTCAAGTAATATGTTTTGAATGCAAGAGCAATGTGTTCCCAGTATTTTTGAGTTGAGCGCCAGTGCGCAGACTCAGATGCTGCAGGCAGCCAAAAGGGGGACAGCATCCACAGGATAACAATGTACAAAAAGGGGGACAGCATCCACAGGATAAACATGGACTTAGTCCGCCACAAACGGCCGTGGAGTCGTGTTGGTGGAGCTGCGGCCACTTTGTGGGTAAATTTGCTGAAACTAAAATGGCGAAACATGACGATTATTCTCAACCAAAAAATTGTTTAACATTGTATGATTGAAGGATGATTATTTGATCAACTATTTCGAGCTTTTCACTGCATTCCCTGGACAGTTTATGCAAATCATGAAAACCTATCATTTTTAACCACTTTGTGCGAGACAAAAGGGTCTAATTGATCCATGAATTTCCATTAGTTTCAAATTAAAAAACATTTTTGCCATAATTGCTTCATATTTCATAGCCAGATGTAATCAAACGATACATTTGAATTTCCTGCGGTCAATGCAACAAATGTGAATAAATTCTGTGCAAAAATTGATCAATTTTCATTTTATTTAATATTCACATTGATGCATTGCCCATGGCATCACAGCGCCCGCTGTTGGGTCAGGAATCGCTTTCAACGCGTGACTCCATATGTATTATAATGATATTTAGTTTCATTCGATTCGATTGGAATCGAATCGTAGCACTTCATTTGCTTCATTTGCTTTAAATTTGCTCTAAATGTGAGCTAATTAAACGGGATTTGAGGAGGGTAAGAAGGAGCAGAAGAAGCAGCAGCAGCAGCTCGGAGACAGAGCTGAGCTGAGCTGCAAATAAATCGTTAGCAATTCATTTTCCTTGATTGTGTGCCTGGTGTCTTCCTTGGGGTCCTCGTCCGCCTTTGTCTGTCTTCAGATTCCGCCGCACAAGTCA